CGGGCCTGGCCGCACCCGACCTGGCTGCTCCCCCGGGCCTGGCCGCTCCCAGCCTGGCAGCCGCTGCTCCGGGCCTGGCCGCACCAGCCCCGCCTTCCCCCGGGCCTGGCCGCTCCCAGCCTGGCAGCCGCTGCTCTGGGCCTGGCCGCACCCGACCCGGCTGCTCCGGGCCTGGCCGCTCCCAGCCTGGCAGCCGCTGCTCCGGGCCTGGCCGCACCCGACCCGGCTGCTCCCCCGGGCCTGGCCGCTCCCAGCCTGGCAGCCGCTGCTCCGGGCCTGGCCGCACCCGACCCACCTGCTCCCCCGGGCCTGGCCGCTCCCAGCCTGGCAGCCGCTGCTCCGGGCCTGGCCGCACCAGCCCCGCCTTCCCCCGGGCCTGGCCGCTCCCAGCCTGGCAGCCGCTGCTCCGGGCCTGGCCGCACCCGACCCGCCTGCTCCCCCGGGCCTGGCCGCTCCCAGCCTGGCAGCCGCTGCTCCGGGCCTGCCGCACCCGACCCGCCTGCTCCCCCGGGCCTGGCCGCTCCCAGCCTGGCAGCCGCTGCTCTGGGCCTGGCCGCACCCGACCCGGCTGCTCCGGGCCTGGCCGCTCCCAGCCTGGCAGCCGCTGCTCCGGGCCTGGCCGCACCAGCCCCGCCTGCTCCCCCGGGCCTGGCCGCTCCCAGCCTGGTATTATAATTCTCTTTTTAAAAGAGGAAACTAAAGCCTAGAGAAGTTAAGTAACTTGTACAAGGTCATAAAGATAGTAAGTAACAGAGCTGGTATTTTGAACTCAGTTTGGTTCCCGAGTTCATCTTCTTTAACTATTATGCTATACCATCTTTTAGTGGAGCCTTGTCCTTCCTCAGACTGAATCGTAAAACACAGAAAGTTACTGTTTTCTCTTTAGAATGCTAACATAACTAGTACTATGCTTGGAAAGAAGTTAATTCATTAGGAACTGTTGATGCCTTAGAGCTGTGGTTGGCAAACATAACCACATGCAGCTCTTTGGCCCCCTGACTGTGGCTCTTCCACAAAATACCACTGCTTGGGCGAGTCTATTTTGAAGAAGTGGCATTAGAAGAAGTTTAAGTTAAAAAAATTTGGCTCTCAAAAGAAATTTCAGTTGTTGTACTGTTGATATTTGGCTCTGTTGACTAATGAGTTTGCTGACCACTGCCTTAGAGAATTAGGGCTTACTTCTTGAGGAAATCCAATTGATAAAGATTAAAGGAGCGGTAGTTTGCAAATATATTTATACAGAAGTATTCTGGAAGTAATTTACCATTACTTTACTTTGGAACCAGTTTTGGACTCTGAACAAAAAGGACCAAACCTAATACATCAAACCTATATAGATAAAGCCTTCATCAGGAGTAATGTCTTACAATTAACAATTGAGAAGAGCAGTAGGTTGGCTTATGATAGTGGTTACTAAGATTTGCCAAGCTGAGGTGACTTTCAGCAACTCCAGTGCTCAGACTTTTATTTATTTATTTATTTATTTATTTATTTATTTATTTATTTATATTTATTTATTTATAGAAGTAGTCACTGCTTCTTTCCTACCATTATTTTCCTTTGTTTCTCCAAATTCCCCCAAGTTTCAAAATCCCAGAGGTCACTCGGCAGATGTCCAGTTCCCCTCCGAGAGTGTTTAACTATGGGCCTAGACCTTTCCTTTTGGTCTAGTTTAAGAGATCATTCATATTATTCTACTTCCAGCAAAAAATTATGGAAGGTCCGGCCCTGCCTTTATAATAGACTTGTGAATAATGTGCAGTAATTATAATGGACTAGAGGCTGGTGCATGAAATTAGTGCACAGGTAGGGTCCCTAAGCCTGGCTGGCGATCAGGGCTGATCAAGGCTTTCCTTCCCCTTCCCCTGGCTGCTGGCTGCTGGCTGGGGCCTTCCTTCATTCCGCACCACCCCCTGGTGGTCAGCACATGTTGAACTCCTGGTTGGTCGAACTTTGCATATAGCCTTTTATTATATAGGATTTCTTTCCCAGATTGTAGCTTATTAAATAGTACTAAATATGTATTGCTGGTACTGTGTTCTCCACAGCATATAAAATCATATGTAGGGAAATACTAGCAGGTTACACAGCAATATATTCTTAAACTGCTGCAGGGATGGATGTTTGATGTGTATGAGAAGAAATGATGCTAGTTATATAGTAGAATGAGGAAACAATTCCTACTTGAAATGAGCAGAAGGAGATTTAGTCCCATTTCACTCTAGCCAGTTATAATACCTTAAGAAAAAATTTCACCTTTTTTTTTTTTTTTTTTTTTTTTAGCTAATTCTTTACCTGCTTTAGAGAGAGAGAGAGAAAGAGAGACCCGGCTAGTGTGATTCAATGGTTAAGCATTGACCTATGAACTATGAGGTGACAGTTTGGTTCCCAGTAAGGGCATATGCCTGGGTTTTAGGCTTGATTACCAATAGGGAGGGTACAGGAGGCAGCTAACCAATGATTCTCATTATTGATGTTCCTATCTCCCTCCCTCTTCTTTCCTCTCTGAAATCAATAAAAATATATTTTAAAAAAAGAGAGAGGACTTAAAAATATATCCCCTTAATAGATCTACCCATATCAATGATTGATTAACTTGTTCAATTCTTCATTTATTTATTTAAAACTAGTTATTGGTTGCCCTCTGTATGCCAGTACCATTCAAAGTGCTGGGAGTCTTGCAGGGAATTAAAGGACAGAAATTTCTGTTCTCATATTCATATTCCAGAGAGTGCAATCTGACAACAAATATGTAAAATATATGTTATGACAGATGGAAATAAGTGCCACAGGGAAAAATAAAACTGGCAAGGATGGGAGATTTAGGAAGAGGGGATGGAGTTTGCAATTTTAAATAGGGTGATCTGGAAATACTATATTGAAAAGATAATATTTGGATAAAAACCTGAAGGGAATGAGTGACTGAGCTACTGATAGGTCAAATAAAATGAGGACCAAGAATTGACCATTCTAGGTGGATGGGGACTTCTATTCTTAGATCACTTAAGTAGATTTATAAAGTGGTCTCATTAGTAAGTCTGAAAAATGACCCTGGGATTTAAAAAAATATATATATTTTATTTATTACATTTTTTTTTTACAGAGAGAGGAAGGGAGAGGGATAGTTAGAAACATTGATGAGAGAGAAACATCAATCAGCTGCTTCCTGCACCCCACCCCCCTACTGGGAATGTGCCCGCACATGCCCTTGACCAAAATCAAATGTGGGACCTTTCATTCCACAGGCCAACACTCTATCCACTGAGCCAGACCAGTCAGGGTGAAATTTTTTTATATGAAGAAGTTACTGGCAAGAATTTTAAGCAAATGACATTCTTTGGACCGTTGATATGTAACTCATTGTTGAGTGAGGTGTTTATCTGGGTGGCTTAGTGAGGATCTGGCCATGAGCTGTGGCTGTCAAGGAGTGCATTCTAGTCTCTGTGGGTAAGATTCAATGCCACTTGGGAAGGACTCATCAAGCCAGGTGCTACTCGTTGACACTCTTTGTTTCCATTCTGTGGACATAACACTCAGCATTGTTTCAGATGTAGGTAAAGATGGAGAAGACAGGTGCATTTAATTACACCAAAATAAAAACTGCTGCATATAAAAGACACCAGAGACTGGAATAAGATATTTGCCACGGTAATACTTACAAAGACCTAGAAAAACCAAATGTAGCTAGAAACACTAAAATGAATCAGTCTGATGGCATTAATTGCTGATAAGAATATGGGGAAATTTATTTATATTCATTCACTGGTGGAAGTAAAAGTTTGCACAGACTTTATAATAGCAAAAAATTGAAGACTGCCAACATATCTGTCAATAAAGAGATGGATAAATAGATGTGGTATCATCACCTGATAAAATACAATACTGCAGGGAAAAGGGATAAACCAGGTATATATATTATATATTATATCATTATGGGTAGATTTCAAAACAATGCTAAATTTTTTTTTAAAGTGAAATTCGGTGTGATACTTTGTACATGAACAAAAAATACACACAAAAGTGAAATACATGAAACACTTGTATTTTTTAAAAAATATATTTTTATTGATTTATTACAGAGAGGAAGGGAGAGGGATAGAGAGCTAGAAACGTCGATGAGAGAGAAACATTGACCAGCTGCCTCTTGCACACCCCCTACCGGGGATGTGCCCGCAACCAATGTACATGCCCTTGACCGGAATCGAACCTGGGACCTTTCAGTCCACAGACCAACGCTCTACCACTGAGCCAAACCGGCTTCGGCAGAAACACTTGTATTTTTATTTATTAATTATTGTATTATTTTCTATATGAACAACTGTAATTCTACTTTTAACCCTCTCTCTATATATATGTGTGTGTGGGTGTGTATATATGTATATGTATATATGTAAAAATATTAAAGACAAAAGATTATGCAACAAACTCATGATAGTGAGTGGCTGGTAGAGAGTGGGCAGTCTTAAATGGGATTTTAGTTTTATTCTATAGATTGGAAGTAACAATGATTGAATGTTTATTTCTTGGTGTTAGACATGTGGGTTTTTGTTATATTATTATTTGTACTTTTTGGTAATTTTGAATTAGCTAAACAATTTAAAAAAGAAGGGAGCCAAGTTTCATAGAATGAGCCCCCAAAGAATAATTTACCAATCCACATACATATAATTTATCTCTCTTTACTGACGAACATCCCCCTCTGTCTGTATCAGAGGAAGTGAGGTCATTGAATTATATTACCTCATAACAATGGTCTCTGCTAATGTGTCTTTGATGGGTCATACTCAATCAGAAAAGCAAAAATCTTTATTCTTATTAGAACGGGATCATGCCCTTTACTCTGACTCCTCATTTTTTACTTTTTAAAAAATTTTTATTACTAAGGACGTACATTTGGTTCCACAGCTATGAGCATGGAGTTGCTAGCATGACAGATTGGGCTGTTTAGAAGGTTAATAACAGCGTTGTGCTTTTCCCCTTGTCTAACCTCTTCCCTACAGGGAATCTTTAACCAGTTTCAATGCAGTAGTGAAAAAGTCCTTCCGTCCGACACTCTCCGCAGTGCTCTGGCAAAGACTTTCCAGGATGAACAGCGCTTCCAGCTGGGAATTATGGATGATGCTGCGGAGTGCTTTGTAAGTGCTAGCCTCTGGCCTCTCTTTGATCTGGTGGGACTGGGACTGCTGATGGTCTCCATCAGGGACTGGCTACTGTGTTGTGGCCATTTACTGTGCCCCTCGTCTCTACAGTTAGAATTAGGCATTTCCTAGTTTCCCAGAGCTAAGGATGTCTCTGCTAACGGCAGTATGAATAGCTTCACAGGTTTACTCTTTTTCCTTTAGGCTTAGGATAGTTTTGTGCTTGCCATTGCATAAAACAGTGCTGTCACCTTCAGAGCAGACAGGGCTCATTAAAATACAAATTGCTGGGTCCTATCCCCTTGAGATTCTGATTCGATAGTTCTGGAATAGGGCCCCAAAATATCTATCTCTAACAAGTTTTCAGGTGATGCTAACACTGATGCTACTGGTTTGGGGACCACACTTGGAGAACCCCTGCATAACTAAACATAATTAAACAGAGAATAACTGAGTTCTTAGCTCAAGTATAATGAGCTATTTGGATCATTACATTTCTCCCAGTGATTGTTGGTAGAACACATAACTCTTTTGAACTCTGGGTTCTATCCATCAACCTCCAAAGACTGTGCATTTATTAGACAACTCAGAATGATATACATCCCATTACAGGGTAAAATGTAGGACAAAATCAGAGGTACTCCTGAGAATCTGGATCACTGCTGTATTGTTGGAGGGACTGTTAAATGTTAATGCTACTTTGGAAAAAGTTCGCAGTTTCTTAAAAAGTGAAACTTGCAAACTACCATATGATTCTGCAGTTGCCTTCCTGGACCTGTATCCCAGAGAAATGAAAATTTATATTCATACAAAACCTGTATATGAATATTCATAGAAGATTTATTCATAACATCCCCAAACTGGAAACAACCCAGATGCCTTTAATTGGTGAATGGTGTTACAAACTGCGTACAGCCACACTGTGGAATATTATGCAGCAATAAAAAGAAATTAACTCTTGATTTATATAATCTTCAGGATGGGTCTGAAGGGAATGATGCTGAGTCTGCTCGAGTAGCTCAGTTGGTTAGGGTGTCATCCTGATAAGTCAAGGTTGTGTGTTTGATCCCTGCTCAGGGCATATACAGGAATCAACCAGTGAATGCATAAATAAGTTTATTATAAATCTTATATAATAAAACCCTAATATGCAAATCAACTGAATGGTGGAACGACTGGTCACTATGTGCACACTGACCACCAGGGGGCAGACAGTCAATGCAGGAGCTGCCCCCTGTTGTCAGTGAGCTTCCACAGGGGAATCGCTGCTTAGTCAGAAGCTGGGCTCATCGCTGATGAGCACAGCAGCGGTGGTGGAAGCCTCTTCTGCCTTCGCTGCAGGTGGTAGTAAGGAGCGAGGGGTCCTGGACTGTGAGAGGGATGTCCACCTAACGGCTTAGGCCCAGCCTAGGGGATTGGGCCTAAGTCAGCAGGTGGACATCCCTTCAGGGGTCCCAGACTGCAAGAGGGCACAGGCTGGGCTGAGGGACCACCCCTGAGTGCACGAATTTCATGCACCGGGTCTCTTGTAAATCAATGTTTCTTTTTCTAAAAATCAATCAATAACAATTTTTGAAGGGAATAATGCTGAGTAAAAAATACAATAGCAAAAGATTATATACTAGAGGTTTGGTGCGCAAAATTTATGCACAAGGGTATGTGTCCCTCAGCCTAGCCTGCACCCTCTCCAATCTGGGACCCCTTGAGGACCACATTTTGAGAACCCCTGCCTGTTTAGGCCCAATCCTACCCCTTGAGGGATATCTGACTGCCCAGTAGAATTGGGCCTAAACAGGCAGTTGGACACCTCTCTCACAATCTAGGACTGCTGGCTCCTAACTGCTCGTCTGCCTGCCTTCCTGATTGCCCCTAACTGCTTCTGCCTGCCAGCCTGATCACCCCCTAACCACTCCCATGTCAGCCTGTTTGTCCCTAATTGCTTTCCTCTGCAGACCTGATCACCCCTAACTGCTCTCCCCTGCAGGCCTGGTCCCCCCCAACTGCTCTCCCCTGCAGGACTGGGTCCCCCACAACTGCCCTTCCCTGCAAGCCCAGTTGCCCCCAACTTTCCTACTTTGCCGGTCTGGTCAACCCTAACTGTCCTCCCCTGCAGGTTTGATCGCCCCCAACTGCCCTCCCTTGCAGGCCAGGTACTTTCCAATTGCCCTCCCATGCTGGCTGTCTTGTGGTGGCCATTTTGTGTCCACATGAGGGCAGTCATCTTTGACTACATGGGGGCAGCCATTTTGTGTGTAGGAGTGATGGTCAATTTGCATATTATTCTTTTATTAGGTAGGATTAGATAGGATAGAGGCCTAGTATACGGGTTAGATAGGATAGAGGCCTAGTATATAGCTGGCTGGTTTGCCCTGAAGGGTGTCCAAAATCAGGGTGAGGGTTCCCTTGGAGTGTGGGGCAGCATGGCGAGGGGCCTGTGGTGGTTTGCAGGCTGGCCATGCCCCCTGGTGACCCAAGCAGAGGCCCTGTTATCTGAGATTTGTCTTTTATAATCGAAACTTTGTAGTCTTAAGCAGAGGCCAACGCAGGCCAGGGCAGGCAGAAAGCTTGGGTTCCTCCATAGCCAGGAAAACCCAAGCCTCCTGCTCTCTCCTTGGTTGCAGCCATCTTGGTTGGGTTAATTTGCATACTTACACTTGATTGGCTGGTGGGCATGGCTTGTTGGTGTAGTGGAGGTATGGTCAATTTGCATATTACTCTTTTATTAGATAGGATTATGTGATTCCATTTATGTAGCATTTTATTTATTTTTTATTTTTAAAAATATATTTTTACTGATTTTTTAGAGAGAGAGGAAGGGAGACGGATAGAGAGATTAAAACATAATGAGAAAGGAACATCATTGATTGTCAGCCTCCTGCACGCTTCCTACTAGGAATTGAGCAGCAATCCTGTATGTGCCCTGACTGGGAATCGAATTGGTGACCTCTTGGTTCCTGGGTCAATGCTCAAATGTTGAGTTGTACTGGCTGGGCTAGCATTTTAAAAATAATAAATAATAAAATTATAGATTGGAGTATAGATCAGTGTTTTCTATGGAGTAGGCTTGGAATTAGATGGGTAAAACTATAAAAAGATAGCATTAGAGAGCCTTGTGGGGGTGGGACAGTTTTATATTTTGATTGTGGTGTGGTTCCATGTTTCTATACCTGAGGTAAAATTGAACAGAGTTTCACACAAACAGAAATGAGGAAACCTGAATAAACTCTGGATTGTATTGATGTCCATTTCCTGACTTGGATGTCATATTATAATTATGTTATATGTTATAATGTTACCATTGGAGGAAACTGGGTAAAAGTACATTTGAATTCCTATATAATTTTTTTGAAACTTCCTGAGAATTTATAGTCATTTCAAATTAAAGAGTTAAAAAAAAATCAAAAGTATTCCTATCTTCCAGAAGGATTGCTATTTCTCTGAGTAAACTGACAACCAACTTGTACATTTGTCTATTGTTGATATACTGCTTTTGTTCTTTCCCTTAGGAAAACCTGCTGATGAGAATTCACTTCCATATTGCTGACGAAACCAAAGAGGATATATGTACTGCCCAACACTGCATCTCCCACCAGAAATTTGCAATGACATTGTTTGAGCAGGTGAACCTTATTTCTATTTCTATCACTTAAAAAAAAAAAAAAGAAAAAAATATATACCCTGTTTCCCCAAAAATAAGACAGTGTCTTATATTAATTTGTGCTCCCAAAGATGCGCTAGGTCTTATTTTCAGGGGATGTCTTATTTTTCCATGAAGAATAATACGGTACACATTTATTGTTAAATGAAAATAAAGGAAATTTATTACCTGTATACGGTACAGTAGTACGGTAGTTGTCAACATAAACCAGACAAACTGTGAATCCTACAGTATCAAGAATTTACTCATTTATTCAATGACAATCATGTCATCATCTTCTGGAACATCATCATAACAATCCAATTCCTGAATTTCCTGGTGAATTTCTTGTGACTCCATTTCTTTCAGAATCAGTGGACCAAATCTCTCATGTTTAGCCTAGGGGGGCCTTATTTTTGGGGGGATGCCTTATATTTCATTCAGAAGGAAATCTGTAAGTAGGTCTTATTTTTGGAGGATGTCTTATTTTTGGGGAAACACGGTATATATATATATATATATATATATATATATATATATATATATATATATATATATATATATAAATTGATTTCAGAGAGGAAGGGAGAGTTAGAAACATCAATGATGAGAGAGAATCATTGATTGGCTGCCTCCTGCATGCCCCCCACAACTTGGGTATGTGCCCTGACTGGGAATCAAACCGTGACCTGGTTTACAGGTTGATGATGCTCAACCACTGAGCAACACTGTCTGGGCTCCATCACTTCTTATACATTTTCTTCAACGACACTTTATCCTGAGGTGTAGGGTGTTAGATGGGTGCCAAAACAATTAATGACTGTGGCTGCTTGGTTTTGCTTTTTCCTTCCTGGCCCAGTGTGTATGTACTAGCTGTGGCGCCACGTCTGATCCGCTGCCTTTCATCCAGATGGTGCATTACATCTCTACCACTTCCCTCTGGTGAGTCTTACGGTTCTCTGTCCCCTGAGGCACGCATTCAGTTGATTTGGTTTTAACTGGAAGCATCCAAATAGCTTATCTCTTTACTGCTGGGTCTATGCTATATCGTTAGGAACTCAGAACTATAATTTTAAAGTAACATTTGTTATCCTTCTTTTCCATGCCTCCTTTTTTCCTAGGCTCAGTTCTGGCCAGCAAAGTAGGAGGAGGAATGGGGATTCTGTGGGCTTTGGATCTGGGGACAGGCAGAGGCACTCACTGTGTGTGTGAGACACTGAGGCTGGTCAGGACAAGGGGCTTCAGTTTAGTGGGCAGAGGAAGAAAGTCAAACATATGAGTTAGGCGTTTGCATGAATGATTTATTTATTTAGTTGTAACTCTCACCATCCTCACCCTTTTATTCCCCATCTTGAAGCAATCAGGCTATTTGTATGCTGGAAAAACGAGAAAAACCCTCCCCAAGCATGTTTGGTGAGTTGCTGCAGAATGCCAGCACCATGGGGGATCTCCGGAACTGTCCGGTGAGTAAGTCAGTGGTGGGGTTTGGGTCGAGAGGGGAACCCTGCGATTAGTGGAATTGAAGCAGAGCCAGTGAGAATCACATCAAACTAGCCTTATATATGTATTTCAGAGCAACTGTGGAGAGCGGATTCGGATTCGCCGTGTGCTGATGAATGCTCCACAGATTATCACAATTGGACTGGTATGGGACTCAGACCATTCAGACTTGGCAGAGGATGTCATTCATAGCCTGGGTACCTGCCTTAAGTTGGGAGATGTGAGTATTAGTTTAACTGTTAGAGTTATTGCATCTTATTCTTGCTCAAGGGTGTGAACACTGAACACAAAGGTATATCCTAAATGACAAACATTACAGAGTTCTGGACAATAATACTGTGAACAGTAATTCCCCCTTATCCATGGTTTCACTTTCTATGGTTTCACTTACCCACAGTCAACCATGGTCTTGAAAATATTAAGTGGAAAATTCCAGAAGTAAACAATTTGTTAATTTTAAGTTACATGTAGTTCTGAGTTATGTGGTGAAATCTCACCCTGTTTTAACTTCCTGCTCCCGGGGAGTTGAATAATCCCTTTGTCCAGGGTATCCACACTTTTATGTATCTGTATATATACATACACATACACATACACATATACATATACATATACTGGTACATATACATATACTGGTACATATATATATACAGTGACTGTTACAGTGCAGTAGTGTTTGTATTCAAGTAATCCTTAAAGTAGCCCAATGTCACATCACAATATCTACCTATGCCATTCATTTCACTTCTTCTCATTAAGTAGGTATTGTATCATCTTACATCATTACAAGAAGGGTGAGTGCAGTAGAAGAAGATTTTGAGAGAGGGAAAGACCACATTCATATAACTTTATTGCAGTATATTGTTATAATTGTCCTACTTCATTATTAGTTATTACTGTTCATCTCCTCTGTTCCTAATTTATGAATTAAACTGTATAGGAAAAAACACAGTATATATAGGGTTTAGTACTATCTGCTGTTTCAGACATCCGCCAGGGGAGTCTTGTAATATTATCCCCTGTAGATAAGGGGCACTACAGTATATGTACATGCATTTCAATGCTCACTTAACCTTCTTTGAATAGGCAGCAAAGGATTTTTATAAAAAGTGGGATGACCAAGCTTAGGTACTGACCAAGATAAACCAAGCTTAGGTACTGGTAAAAATCATGCACTTTTTAAAGTTATTGTGTACTCTACTCACTATTAGTTTATACCAGTGTAGAACAGGGACTTGTATTCAACCATGGGAGGTGGTAAGGTCAAAGAAGTGAGCAGCAATCCTGACTAGAGTTGCTTTAGAAGGTGACAGAGGTGAAAGTTGGTGGCTTGAGTCCTACAGTACGGAATTCACAGTGAGGAACCAGTATCTGTTAAGATAATGAAGTGGATTGGCAGAGAATTTGGTGGGTTAGTGGTTTTCCATGAGTCTATTTAGGGAAGTACATAGGGAAACAGACTTCAGACCTAAGGACTCAACCTCATCAGCTCCATGCCCTAGTGTAGGTACAGCCATAGCTTTCCTTTGGTTCAAAAGAAGAACCAGAAATGCTGTGGTTTTCATTCTTGGTTTTGCTCTGGGATAATATTATGACTAAGGAGATCCCTTGTTGTGTTTTAGTTTTGTTAAACCACTACTGAGAAAAAGTGAATTCTTTGGGATCTTATTTTAGGTCTTCTTCCCAAGAAATCTCTGATGTGAATAAGCTATATATAACAAAATCTCCTTTTTCTAAAATTCTGTAGCCTACAGTATATTCTGCAGTTCTAGTTTTATTTTTATGATTGTTTTCCCAACCATATAAGTTCCTGATGCAAGAATAATTTTCTTCTTTTTTTTGTATGTCCCTTTGCACCTAGGACAGTGTTGGACATGTAGGAATTGAAATTCTGGTATTGCTTCTTCTAAGGGCTTTCTTACCCCTACTTAGGGACTCAACAGGAAATTTATATTTGTGGTGCCAGCTGATGAATAACTTTTGAAACTTGAGAATGTTTTTGTTTTGATTTGGTTTGGTTTGTCAACTTTTTCTGACTCCTCTTGTGATCTGCCCCATCAAGAAAATATTGGAAGTTATGTGGAAACATCACTATCTTACCAGTTACTGGCCACTATTTTGCTTTTTTGGGCTGATTTTTTTAAAAAAAATATATTTTATTGATTTTTTCCAGAGAGGAAGGGAGAGAGATAGAGAGCCAGAAACGTCGATGAGAGAGAAACATCAACCAGCTGCCTCTTGCACACCCCCTACTGGGGACGTGCCCGCAACCCAGGTACATGCCCTTGTCCGGAATCGAACCTGGGACCTTTCAGTCCGCAGACCGACGCTCTACCGCTGAGCCAAACCGGTTTTGGCTGGGCTGATTTTTGATGACTAATATGGATTATCAAAAAAAAAAATCTTATACAGGGCAGAGAAGCAAATCAGTACCTTAAGAAATAATGGAGTCAGTCTGCTGGCAGATGACATGAGAGGGTTATGTCACTGCTCTTTCCTTTCTCCTCTTTCCCTGCAGCTATTTTTCAGAGTGACAGATGACCGGGCCAAGAAGTCTGAACTGTACTTAGTAGGAATGATCTGCTACTACGGCAAACATTATTCTACATTCTTTTTCCAAACAAAGATCCGCAAATGGATGTATTTTGATGATGCTCATGTCAAGGAGGTAGGAATATTCAAGCCCTGCTTAAAGTGTTTGGTGACTGCAATAAAAAAACTAAGGATAATTATTTATCTTCAATGTTTTATTTTCATAATTTTAATGTCTATCACTTATCTATTGGATTTATGAGAGTTATTAGTCCTGTCTTCCCCCCAAATTGTCAAGTTCCTCAAGGACAGGATGAACCTATCTTCTCTTATTGTCTCTAAATGCCTTCACATGGCATTCAGCTCAGTTAACATTTACATTGACAAATTATTTTTTAAAATGTATTCATTAATTGATTTGAGTGACAACAGTCTAATAAGTCAGATTAGGTTATAAGGACAGTAGCAAGTTCAGAATTCCAAATCTTGGCATTATTAGTGGGTAATACTTTGTCTCAGGCTACTGTAAAATAGTCTCTGATTGTTAGCTTCCTGAAGTACCCTATCACCAATTAACATGATTTTGAGATAGCATAGAGAAAATGGGGCTATGATGATATTTAAAGCTGGAAACTTGATACTCTCTAAACCACAGTTTGGATGAAATAGGTGATTTGTATGAGTTATACACTTGTGATTAGGTCAGCAGTTAGGAGACTATTTAGACATTTTACACCAATCCATGGACCTTAAGCAGCATCTTCCACAAATAGTAGTTTTTGTCAAATTCTCTTCATCTCTTTTGTGCTGTTGTCATTTCAGGCAGCATATAAATTCTTTGAGCTTTAAGTTTTGTTTATTTTATTGATTTTTGAGAGGGAGGGAGGGAAAGAAGGAGGGATGTCTATTCTAAGCAGTTTGATGTTTTATGTCCTGCCATGTGTGAACTCTGACACAGAATGTCATTTATTCTAAGACAGTCTGTTCTTCAGCTTCCTTAAAGTGATTTTAATACTTAAGAGAAATTCTAGAAAAGCAAATTTCAAAAAAGGGCTTTGACTTGATGCCTGTGAAAAGGAAAAGATCAGCAAGGCAGTTGATGTCCCCTCACATAGCATATTCACCTTTGAGAACTGTTATTCATATTTCACAACTGAATCGACGTTTCATGGGAATAAAAGTAATTTTATTCATCATTCCTGTTTTAATGCTTTCTAAAAGGATTTAACAAAAAAAAATCATTAAGTGTAGCTATAAGAACTCTATTATGTCTCTTTACCCGATTCTTTTAAAAAATATATATATTTTTATTGATTTCAGAGAGGAAGGAAGAGGGAGAAATAAACATCAATAATGAGAGAGAATCATTGCTTTGCTACCTCCTGCACACCCCCTGCTGGGGATTGAGCCCACAACCCAGGCATATGCCCTTGACTGGAATCGAACCTGGGACCCTTCAGTCCACAGGCCGACGCTCTATCCACTGAACCAAACCAGCTAGGGCCTGATTCTTGTCGTTTCATCTTTTATTTTCCTTAGAAAAACAGAACAGGAAGTTATGTTTTGCATTGTTGGTATGAAATATAATTATGTTCTTCTAATTGTTTTTGGCTCAGATTGGGCCCAAATGGAAGGATGTGGTGACCAAATGCATCAAGGGGCATTACCAGCCGTTGCTGCTGCTTTATGCAGACCCGCAGGGTACCCCAGTGTCCACCCAGGACCTGCCTCCCCAAGTTGAATTCCAGTCATACGGCAGGATGTGCTACGACAGTGAAGATTCAGGTGAGAAGCCTAGCTCTTACCTCCCCTTTCTCTCTCCAATGTGATCATTGCATATTTGGGACTCTTGATCATGAGCCTAGCACATAACCAGCTTGGAGAAGAGGACCCATTAGAGAAAAGAGGAAATGCCAACTTGTGCTGAAGCCCAACTTGCTCCAGGCTTTGTTTCCTTCAGCCTCCAAGAATGCATTCATTGCCTGTATGCAATGCAGCCCCAGTTCACAAGTCCAAAGGAAATTGTGTTGAGTAAGACTGATAAATTTGTGAGGGAAACCTCAGCATTTAACCTTATAATATTGGTAAAGATGACTGATTCTTACTAGCAATTCAACAGTAACTTAAGTGAGTTAAGACCAAGAGAAAAGATGTTACTAAAAGGCAGTCATGTTGTTAGGGATGAGAGATTTTTGTTTTAAAGTGCCAAGTGCTGTAGTGATATTTTTTCAGCTTATGAATCAGTTATTTACTTCGAATTCAATTGTTTGGAACACAAATTATGTTTTCCTGTAGAAACAATTTGCCACTTGATGGTTAGTCTCAGGTTAGCCCACAGAGGCTCATAATACATTAGAAATATAGCCCTAATGGTTTTGGCTTGATTTCTTAAAACGAGGAAAAAGAAATGTTCTTTTTCATTTTTATTTTTAGAGCTGGGTATAATTTTGAAAGAGAAGACATTTGTCTTTGGATTCTTTTTCCTTCTCTTTTGTATCTCCATTCTGGTTGGTAACTGGTGTTCTTCCCACCTTTGTAACCCTACCCAAACCTGCTCCACTTCTCTCTTCAATCAAACCCCGATTTCCACTACTTATCTTAGCTAGGTGTTTAGAGAAAGTAATCTAATTCACACTAAAGTATAAATAACAGCCCTGTTAACTTCTCAGAGATATTAAAAATGCTTATACTGTCAATTAAAAAATTTTAAGTGACATTTCTGGCAGTAGAGGAAAAAACTTAGGGGATGGTAGTGATATATACAGGTCAGCCTGGGACACTTTATCTAAGTAGAGTTTATTTTTTCACAACTTTTTCCTTTCTCCCACTTTTCCCCCCATAGGTTTTCTAAAAGCCCCAAAGTTTTTCACAGTGGCAGGCAAAGTGAGGGCTTCAGCAAGGTAGGGGCAGGAGTGGGAAGAATTGTTTGTGTGTCTGTGTTATCTGGAAGTTGGGTGTTGGGAAGAATGGCTCTGGTATATCCTTTTCATGTCCCATCTAGGACTTTCTTGCCTTATGGATCTTTGTTGCCATCCAGCTCTTTGCCCCCCTCTCTACCACTGTCCTTCTCTCTTTCCTCACTTTGCCTATGTGTCTCCTCCTTCTCTCAGGGAGGGAGCCCTCCATCTCAAGTGACACCCGAACAGATTCCTCAACGGAGAGTTATCCCTACAAATACTCCCACCACCCGTCTGTGGTCAGTCACTTCTCTTCTGAGTCTCAGGGGACAGTCATCTATAATGTGGAGAATGATTCCACGTCTCAGAGCAGTCGGGACACAGGTAGGGACTGATGCAGTGGGTCCTGTTTGTTCCTGCATAGAGGGTGTCCAAGAAAAAAAAACTGGGGCAAGTCAGAAATATTTGTCATGCAAAGGGAGGAAGGCACAGAACATGGGTAATTAAGTGGGATCCAAAGAAGCAAAAAGAAGCAACACAGTTCTGAATAAACGATGATGTTCCATTGCATATATTTCTGTCAACCGCAGCATATCAGTAAGGACCATTGTAATGTGATTATTGATGTGATTGTTTATTCTGAAATATGCTTTTCTCCTGCTATGCTCTTTCTTTTAAAAAAAAATACTTTATTGATTTTTCACAGAGAGGAAGAGAGAGGGATAGAGAGTTAGAAACATCAATGAGAGAGAAACATTGACTCAGCTGCCTCCTGCACACCCCCTACTGGGGATGTGCCCGCAACCCATGTACATGCCCTTGCCCGGGATCGAACCTGGGATCGAACCTGGGACCTTTCAGTCCGCAAGGCGACACTATCCACTGAGCCAAAGCGGTTTCAGCTCTCCTGCTATGCTCTTAATCCCTACTCCTCAAATAATGCTCCATTAAATTACTGTGGTCTTGTACCTCATAAGGTTCTTATGCCAGGCTTTGTCCCAAGTTAAGGGCTTTGAGTGGAGGTGCATGTTTTAGACAGGGGGTACCTGTTTATCACTTGCTAGGCTTCCTGAAGAACAGATACGCAAAAGAATGAAAACTTGTTTGTTTGTTATTGTGAGTTCCATGCACAGAACATTTTTAAATTTTTTTTGTTTATCTATGGAGAGTGTACCAGTGTCAGTGGAAAAAAATCAATAAAGGGCATAAAAGGAAGAACAGTGAATAACTGACTGCTGAGATGAAAAGGTAATCACCCAAGGCTTAGAACAATGCCCATACTTTTAGAAACTTGGGGATTAGTGAGCTCATGGCTTCAGTTTGGTGGTTTATATTCTGTGCATGGCCTTAAAAAAAAAAAAAAAAAAAAAAGGAATTTTAAATATATTCAAAAGTATACCAAATAAGCCAAAACCGGTTTGGCTCAATGGATAGAGCGTCGGCTTGGGGACTGAAGGGTCCAGGGTTCGATTCCGGTCAAGGGCATGTACCTTGGTTGCAGACATATCCCCAGTGGGGGGTGTACAGGAGGCAGCTGATCGATGACTCTCTCTCATTGATGTTTCTAGCTCTCTATCTCTCTTCTTTCCTCTCTGTACAAAATCAATAAAATATATATTTTTTTAAAAAGTATACCAAATAGCATACTGCTCCTCCACATACCCATCACCTGTTTTCAATAATTATAACTTATGGCCAATCTAGTTTTATCTGTTCCTCTACCCACTTCCCTCACTCCCAGACATGTCACCTTTTCCAGAAATATTTTAGTATATATCTCTAAAATATAAGAAACCATTTTTAAACATACCATTAGCTCAGTTAAAAATATTAACGATTCCTTTAAACCCTAAATAATAAGTGTTTAAATATCAAATTTTCTTTTAAATATTATAACTTTTTAATGGTTTATTTGTTTGCTTTACTCAGAATCGAAATAAGATTTATATCTACATTGCAATGAGTTGACAAGTCTTTTGAATTTCTTTTACTCTATAGGTTTCTCCTCTGTTTTTTTTTTCTTGCAATTTATTGTTTGCAGAAGTAGGCAGTTTGTCCTATAGATTATGCACATTCTAAATTTGGTTGTATGTTCCTATGGTAAACTTTAACATGTTTCTCTGTGCTCTGTGTATTATGTAAGTAGGTTTGTTCAGATTCATGTTGAATTATTTTCGATGACTATTGCACAAATGACTATTTCAAAGTGTGATATATTGTCCTTTTTTTTTTTTTTTTTTAAATCTTCACCCAAGGATTTGTTTACTGAATTTTAGAGAAAGAGGGAGGGAGGGAGGGAGGGAGGGAGGGAGGGAGGGAGGGAGAGAGAGAGAGAGAGAGAGAGAGAGAGAGAGAGAGAGAGAGAGAGAGACATCAATTGGTTTCCTCCCGTATGCACCCCGACTGGGATTGAACTGTAATGTAGGTATGTGCCCTGACCAGGATTTGAACCTGCACCCTTTTGATGCATGGGATGACACTCTAACAAACTGAGCCATCTAGCCAGGGCAATATGATATTTTTAAAACTGTACTTCTGAAACTGTGAACCATGGAGGAGTTAAGTCACAGGATAAATAAAGCATATTTTCCAGGAGAATCAGGTTTATGTTACGGTTTGTGAATGGCTGAGAGTAGACTAACATATTCCCAATGGTTTAGTATTTGTAGTTCTAGGAGCTCCAATTGATTTCCTTATTTCTTAAGTTCTTCTTATGGGTCCAGAGGTAGCAAGGGATCAGATAAAAGCAATAAAAGATTTCATTGGAATATATAGTCATATCATTATATTTGCTGATACCTGAATAAGTAATTGTTCTAAGTCTGATTAAGTTCAGTTGCTTAATTCACTTCTGGCCTACAGCAGTTTATATGATTATATCCTTCAGAATCTAACCTTTGCTATTGTCAAATGGCCCTCATACATTCACATACACTGGGCATGAAGTAAGGCAAATTACATAAAAAGCCCAGATCTCCTGGATTTCCCAGCAGTTGGTATTGAGGAATTATGAAGTCTAATCTCTGTTTTTAAAAATATATATTTTATTGATTTTTTTACAGAGAGGAAGGGAGAGGGATAGAGAGCTAGAAACATTGACCAGCTGCCTCCTGCACACCCCGCCCCCTCACTGGGGATGTGCCTGCAACCAATGTTCATGCCCTTGACCGGAATCGAACCTGGGACCCCTCAGTCCGCAAACCAATGCTCTAAGTACTGAGCCAAACCGGTTTTGGCTAATCTCTGGGTTTTGGTAAATGAGAATTATTCAAAGTTCAAATGTTCTTTTAAATGACTCACATTTAAGGAAGTTTTGGAATTGGATCTTAAAGCCATACACAATCAAAGCTCTTTTGAGCAGAGACTGGAACACCTGGGATAATACCAGTTATAATAACTAGACTTTAGTTGATATATGTTGCTAAATAAGTAAAAGGAAAGCTCTGTGTTCTATTTATGTGAGTGAAAATATATCAGTACTTGACATTTTTATGCAATCTTTAAAACTTTCACCTTTTTTTTTTTTTTTTTCCACCCTGCATTTTTATTTATTTATTTATTTATTTATTTTTTAATTTTTATTGTTCATATTATTACAAATGTCCCTTCCCCCCCCTTCCCACCCCACCCTCTGCCCTTTCCCCACCCCCCATTGTCCTCATCCATAGGTGCACAGTTTATGTTCAGTCTCTTCCCACATCCCCCTCTCCCCTTTTCCCCAAGAATCATCAGTTCACTCTCCTTCTATACCTCTGATTCTATTATATTCAACAGTTAATATTGTTCCTCAGATTTTTTTTTAATTTCCTTGGTTTTTAGATTCACTTGTTGATAGTTATGTATTTGTTGTTCATAATTTTTATCTTTATTTACTTTTTCTTCTGAAAGAACCCCCTTCAGCAATTCATATAATTCTGGTTTGGTGGTGATGAACTCCTTTAGCTTTTTTTTATTAGTGAAGCTCTTTATCTGACCTTCGATTCTGAGTGATAGCTTTGCTGGATAGATTATCTTTGGCTGTAGGTTCTTACTATTCATCACCTTGAATATTTCTTGCCATTCCCGTCTGGCCTGCATGGTTTCTGTTGAGAAGTCAGCTGACAATCGTATAGGTGCTCCTTTATAGGTAACTACCTGCTTAGCTCTTGCTGCTTTTAATATTTTCTCTTTGTCTTTTGCTCTTGGAATCTTAATTATGATTTGTCTTGGTGTGGTCCTCTTTGGATTCCTTTTATTTGGAGTTCTGTGTGCTTCCTGGACTTGTAAGTCCAATTCTTTCCCCAGGTGGGGGAAGTTTTCTGTCACTATTTCTTTCAATATGTTTTCGATATCTTGCTCTCTCTCATCTTCTGGGACCCCCATAATTCTGATGTTGGATCGTTTGAAGTTGTCCCAGAGGTTTCTTACATCATCTTCAATTTTCTGGATTCTCTTGCCTTCTAGCTTCTGCAGAGGAGTATCTTCTGGCTCTTTATGTTCCAAATCTTTGACTTGATTCTCAATTTTCTGGATTCTCTTGCCTTCTAGCTTCTGCAGAGGAGTATCTTCTGGCTCTTTATGTTCCAAATCTTTGACTTGATTCTTGCGATCTTCTATTCTGTTTTTAGGACTCTGTATAATAGTTTTTATTTCAGACAATGTATTCTTTATTTCTTGTTGATCCCTTTTCATATCCTCATAAGTCTCATTTATTTTATCAGCCTTTTCTAGGAAACTCTTGAAAAACCTTATAAGTGTGGTTTTGAACTCTATATCCAGTCGCTTTTTGTCCTCCATTTCTTTCGTTTGTGATCTATTTGGTTTAGGCATTTTCGCAGGCAGCTTTCCTGATGGGGCGGGGTTTCAGGGTGGAGCCTACAGCTTTGGCTTCAGTCAGCCCCGCCCTATGCGCCTCCTGAGACTCAGGGTCCTTCAGTACTCCTTGCAAGCGCCTCTGAGAGAAAGGCGCCCTCAATCGCCTGCTGCCAAACAGTCTAGTCTCTCCCCCAATGGGCCCGAAACTGGGGTTCAGTACAGTTGGAAGTGGAGTTGGAGGTGGCGTTCAGAGCAGTCTGGCGCCCCTGTCTCCTTCCCGCCAGGCAATCCCGCGGCACAGCCGGCCGGCCCTTCTCTGCGCGGCGCCGCCAGGACCTCCTTTCGCTGCTTCCCCGGGTTCCGCCTTTCAGCCCGGCTCCCTCTGTGTGAGCCTGGGTCCCCGGGGTCTGGCCTAGGCCTGGGGTTCAGAGCAGTCGGGGGCCCAGCACAGTCGGAGCTTTATCTCCTTCCCGCCAGGGAACGCCCGCCAGGCACTCCGCCGCCCTCCTCTCCTGCTCCGTCCTCTCCGCGCGCCGCGTGTCTCCGTACCTTAGGCTTTTCCAGCTCCTCCGTGCTTCCTTCTGGTTTTCTCCTTGCTTCTTGTTGTAGAATTTCCAGTCAGTCGACTTTCCTGTAGTTCTGGGTGATGTCCATTTTATATTTTAGTTGTATTTTATTAAAATTGTTGCGTGCGGCTGCGGCTAGGTGCCTACCCGAGCAGCCATCTTGGATTCTCAAAACTTTCACCTTTTAATAAGTACCAAGTAATAGGTCCCTCAGGTTACTGGGAACATTTATGATTGGGATTGAGACTAGCAATTGCTCAGGAAACTTGTAAATTTATCTGTTGAGAGATTCCTGGTACACTTAAATCAGGTAGCCATGGCCCTTGCAGCTTTCAACCCATGGATACACTAAATTTGTGCCACTGCCATGAATCCCAAAGGGAGACTGGTTTCTCAGGAGGATGGAGGTCAGTCTCAGATACCAGCTTACCCCCATTTCTTTTCCAGGGCACCTGACTGATAGCGAATGTAATCAGAAACTCACATCCAAGAAAGGGTCGCTGATAGAGCGCAAGAGGAGCTCTGGCCGGCTGAGGAGGAAAGGCGATGAGCCACAGGCCTCAGGGTACCACAGCGAAGGCAAGCACTTGGCACTGCTTCTCTCCTAAGTCCAAACTCGGCACGCTCCAGGCCATGGCTTCTCCTTTCTGCTCAAAGGGCTTTCCTTGCTTTCTTAACTTGGGGATGTGGGTATTCATGAGCACTTTAAACATTTATATTTGTTTCGTTCTTTGTGTTTTTAGGAGAAACACTGAAAGAGAAGCAGGCTCCTAGGAATGCCTCTAAACCATCCAGCAGCACCAACAGACTAAGGGATTTTAAAGAGACAGTCAGCAATATGATCCATAACAGACCATCCCTGGCTTCTCAGACCAACCTAGGGTCTCCCTGTGGGGGGAAAGGAGGAGACCAGATGGACAAAAAACCTCCCAAGAACCTGCTTTTAAACTCTCATGACTGGGAAGTAGAGAGTACTAGCAGTGAGTCAAAATCCAGTTCTTCTAGCAAGTATCGTCCAACATGGAGACCCAAACGAGAGTCTCTGAATATTGACAGTATCTTTAGTAAAGACAAAAGGAAGCACTGTGGTTATACTCAGCTCAGCCCATTTTCTGAAGATTCAGGTGAGGAGATAATTAGGGAAGAACTGGGCTTTTGAATAAAGTTTATCTATGTACTAGAGGCCCGATGCATGAAATCCATGCAAGAGTAGCCTTCCTTCCCCCGGCTGCCAGCAACAGCTTCCCTCTGACACTCGGGACCCGGGCTTCCCTCTGGCTGCTGGCAGGCACCCGGGACCCCGGCTTCCCTCACAGCCCCGGCTTCATCCAGAAGGATGGAAGGACATCTGGAAGGATGTCCGGTCTAATTAGCATATTATGCTTTTGTTATTATAGATTTTTATAAACTTGGTTTTCTGGTAGACTTGACAAGGTCCATTTTCATCCCATTGTTGGGTCTTTTGGGGATATAATTTTAGTAAATGTGTAGCTGGAGGGAGGTGTTACTCATATCTTAATTTGAAGCAGATGCTAACTCTACCTCCTTTTTCATACTTGTGCCCTGCTCGGAATAGCTAAAGAATTTACATCAGATGACCTAAGCAAGCCACCTACTTACGACCTTAAAACTGGTGGACCAAGCCCCCAATACAAGCCTTGGGGCCCAGCACGGCCAGGCTCTTACCTGTTAGAGCAGCACCCTCGCCTTATCCAGCGAATGGAATCTGGCTATGAGAGCAGTGAGAGGAACAGCAGCAGCCCTGTCAGCCTGGATGCAGCCCTGCCTGAGAGCTCCAGTGTCTGGAGGTATTGTGTGGCCTTTGAATAGCGGCTTTGTCCCTAGCAGCAGTATGAGCCACCAAGAGGTTTATCAACTCAGGCAAGCAGAGAGGTGCACTTTATTACCATCTTGTGGGCAAACAAAGTATTGTGCTCTATCAATCTTCTATGACAACAGCGCCCTCTGCTGGGCGAAAGAGCAATGGCATTTGAGAAAGGAGAGAGGAGAGACTACTTTATTTTTATTGTTGACTCCATTTCTCCCTTCCTACCCCCTCAACTTTGTCTCCCTTTACCCTACTCCCGCCCCGCCTAGGTCTTCACCACTTTATTGTCTGTGTCTATGGGCTATGTGGGTTGATCTCTTCCCACACTTCCCACTCTCCTCCCCTCTGAGATCTGTTAGTCTGTTCCATTTATTCATTAGCTTCTAGTCCTATTTTGTGAGTTTATTTTGTTCCTTAGATTCCACATATAAGTGAGATCATGTGATACTAGTCTTTTGCTGATTGGCTTATTTCGCTTAGCATAACAATCTCCAGGTCCATCCATGCTGTCTCAGGGTAGTTCCTTCTTTTTTACAGCCACGCACTTGGGCTGTTTCCAGATCGTGGCTATTGTAAATAATGCTTCTATGAACATAAGGGTGCATATATCCTTTCTGATGGGTGTTTTGGGATTCTTAGGATAGGTACCCAGAAGTAGGATTGCTGGCTCAAAAAGCAGTTCCATTTTTAATTTTTTGAGGAAACTCCATACTATTTTCCATACTGGCTGCACCAGTCTGTATTCCCACCAGCAGTGCAGGAGGGTTCCATTTTCTCCACATCCTCACCAGCACTTGTTTGTTGATTTATTGATAGTTGCCATTTTGACCAGTGTGCGGTGATGTCTCATTGTAGTTTTTATTTGCATCTCTCTCATGATTAGTTACCGTGAGCATTTTTTCATGTCTATTGCCCATCTCTTTGGAGAAGTGTCTATTCAGGTCCTTTGCCCATTTTTAGTAGGATTGTTTGTCTTCTTTTGCCATTTTTTAGTAGGATTGTGTGATGAGATATCTAAGTTCTTTATATATTTTGAAGATTAAGCCCTTATCTGATGGATCACTGGCAAATATGTTCTCTCATATGGTGGGTTCCCTTTTTGTTTTGTTGATGGTTTCTTTGCTGTGAAGTAGCTTTTTAGTCTAATGTAGTCCCATTTGTTTATTTTTTTTTTTTATTATGTTTCCCTTTTTCTTGGAGACATATCAGCAAAAATATTACTCCGAGAGATTTTATTGCCTGTGTTTTCTTCTAAGATTTTTATGGTTTCATGACTTACATTTGGGTCTTGTATCATTTTTAAAAATATATATTTTATTGATTTTGTTCAGAGAGGAAGGGAGAGAGATAGTTAGAAACATTGGTGAGAGAGAATCATCGATCAGCTGCCTCTTGCACACCCCCTACTGGGGATATGCCCGCAACCAAGGTACATGCCCTTGACCGGAATTGAACTCTCTATCCATTGAGCCAAACTGGTCCTTGGCTAGGTCTTGTATCATTTTGAGTTTATTCTTATATATGGTATAGGTTGTTGGTCTAGTTGCATTTTTTGCATATACCTGTCCAATTTTCCCAGCACCATTATTAAAGAGACTGTTTTTACTCCAAGGCATGGATTTATTTATAGGCTCTCTGTTCTGTTCCATTGATCTATATGCCTGTTTTTGTGCCAGTATCAGCCTCCTGGTGACTAGTCTTTGGTCATTATGGCATTAGGACCACTGTGGTTTTAATATATATATATATTTTTTTTTTCTTTTTTCTTTTTTGAAATATATGTTTATTAATTTTAAAGAGGAAGAACGAGAGATAGAGTGATAGAAATATCAATGATGAGAATCATTGATCAGTTACCTCCTGCATGCTTCACACTGGGAATCAAGCCCTCAATCTTGGCATATGCACTGACTGAGTTTATTTATAAATAAACAATCTCCTGGTTCATAGGTCAATGCTCAACCACTAAGTCACAAGCTGGGCAGAGTTTATTCTTATATATGGTATAGGTTGTTGGTCTAGTTGCATTTTCACTTGTTCAGTTTTACTCATGAGAATATGTTACAAAGGAATAAGAAAGAGGAAGGCAATCCATATTAGAGCATATGTTTATTAATTCATTAAATAAGGTTTATGCTAGATGTACAAAATGTGATTGAAGTGAAATAAGATGGGGAATGAGTATTTCATTTTTTCAGAAATAGTTTAGCAGATACTTTAATTATACTAATTCAATACTTGGTTGGCTTTTTGAGGGAATTTTGTCCTAAGAATGTTGCTAGTTATCACTCTTCTACTGCTTTCACTAGACTCTCGTTTCTCTTTTGAAGGGATCCAAGTGCTAAGAGAGCAGCTGGGTTAGCACCTTCCTGGCGTCACATCCCAAAATCTCACAGCAGTAGCATCCTGGAGGCGGACTCCAGGAGTGTCTGGACAAGGAATCAGACCCTATCAGGTAAGCAAAAGGACAGTGGATTTGGAGAATTTGATTTGTCTGCCAATTTTGTTTGGGAAACAGTCTTACCTGAGAACATTTGAAATTAGAGGACAATTGCACTTTGAATATTCCATCAGAATATAAATGTGAAGGCATTTGAGCTGCTTTGGATTATCTATTTTGGGTTTATCACGGTTTGCCCGATTGTTTCTTTCTACCCTGGAAAGACCCCTTGTGGGAGCAAGAAGGAACGAAAATTTGGTGAATAGTGTCAGTAGTATCTGCATTCCGCAGAAGAATAAGCCCTAGGGCTTTCCTTGGTATAGAGGCAGCCTCTTGGGAATGTATTTCTTATTGTTTATTACTATAAATTGAGATAATGCAGGAAGACATATAGACTGTGGTCAAAACTGAGAAATAGGTAGGTCAAACCTACTCTTACCCCTGCCTCCATGCCCTGTGCAGTATCCCTGTTCGGTTTTTCTTTCTTGAGTTGCCTTGTTTCCTCATACTCCCTCTTTCCCAAAACAAGGAATGATGTGACTCCTTCATATTAAATGTAAGTGACTAAAATAGTTTAAAATATGCTTTCTCTAAGAGTAACTGACATTTTAACAAGTCAAAATTTGAAGATAAGGGAATATTATAGTTTCAGACAGAGATTTGAGGTAATCATAGGTTTTAGCTCTTTTTTACATTTCTCTCCCAACACACATATATTTCTAGTGCATATTCCACTTAAGTAGAGACCCGGTCCAAATGGGTCAAAATGAATCCTTTACTTAGAGCTGAAAATTGAGATGATAACTAGGCAGTCTCTCCAACATGGAGACTTTGGAATGCCTGAGTAAAGATGGTGAGGATATAGTATCATGTGGTCTGCTGAGGAGTTCTGGGAGCCCCTGATTTAGAGATCAGCCTTATCTGAAAGATGTGTTTTATCTCTCCCACCTCTTTTTTCTGTTCTATTAGAGCATGTGGGCAGAAACCTAACTATTTTCTGATTTAATGACCTTCTGGATATAGATATGGCCAACTTACTAGTGAGAGGAGGACAGAATACTATGTGCCAGCCTGTAGAGATGAGACCAGGAACATCACTAGTCTGACCACCAATTTTCTTGAGAGTCACTTCAAGTTCTTAGAGATAGCTAGAAGGGAGGTATACAGCAGTAATGAAATGGCATGAACTCTTTTACATATGAGTGCCATAGGTTGGTGACATATCTAAAATCCTGGGCTGGAGTAGATTATAATTAGAAACCCATAAAAGAAATTCATGTTTCTAATGAAGTCATACATTTGGTTTATTTCCCACATTTTAATTTATTTTGTGTCGACTAACTTTGCTTTAAGAAACTGTGATCATGCATGAGTCTATTTTCCCTTCTCTTTTCTTCAGATAGCCAATTCTTTTTCAGCACACTAAAAACTTAATTTCTATTTACTTAGTTTCTTCATTCCTAAAATGTGGGCAGTGAGAGTATTTACCTCATAGTTTGTTGTGAGAATTAAATGGAATACTATATGTAAAAGTGCTTAAAACTGTGCACTTTTATAGTAAATGCTCAACAAATGTTAGTTGTCATAAAACACTCAATAATTGTTTTTTGTTATTATTACTAGAGGCCCTATGCATGACATTCATGCACTGGTGGGCAGGGGGGTTCCCTCAGCCCAGCCTGTGCCCTTTCACAGTCTGGGAGCTTTTGGGGGATGCCTGACTGCCATCGAGGCGGAGAGGCTCCTGCCACCACTGCTGCACTATTGTCCTCACCAACCGTCAGCCTGGCTTCTGGCTAAGCAGCGCTTCCCCTGTGGGAACCCACTGACCAGCAGGAGGCAGCTCCCTGCTGGTCACTGTCTGCTCTCTGGTGGTCAGTGCACATCATAGTGACTGGTTGTTCCGCCATTCATTCGATTTGCATATTATATAGGACTAGTGGCCTGGTGCATGAAATTTGTGCACTAGGGGGGAGAGGGTCCCTCAGCCCAGCCTATACCCTCTTCTAAACTGGCAGTTGGACATCCCTCTCACAATCTGGGATAGCTGGCTTCTAATTGTTTACCTACCTGCCTGCCTGATCGCCCCTAACTGCCCTCCCTGCCGTCCTGATCTTGCCCCTAACTGCTCCCCCCTGCCGGCCTGATCTTGCTCCCAATTGTCTCTGCTTGCCTGATCACTCCTAACTGCCTTCCCCTTCTGGCCTGATCACCCCCAACTGCCCTCTCCCCTGCCGGTCTGATCTCGCCCCCAACTGCCCTTCTCTGCCTTGGCCTCCACCACCATGGGTTTGTCTGGAAGGAAGTCGGACATCTGGAAGATGGCTGGTCAACCTGGTCTAATTAACATATTACCCTTTTATTAGTATAGATAGATTATATAGGATAGGATTGCTTAAATGGGGCGGCGGGGGTGGGGGGGCTTTTACAACAGAAGAAGATGCTTTTGGCAGACAAAATTACATAATCCCTATATTTGGACTGATAGCCAGCCATATGCACTATTCTGCCAAACTGGTCATTAAAAAATTGAACTGCTTTCTTACACTTTACACTAAACAACTGTTGCCCTTAAAACCCCTCCTCAGCCCTCACCTTAGGTTCTACCTTTGCACTTCACCCACATTAGGTTCTGATTGGTCAGTTTCTATGCCAGTCAGTGTCAAAAGCTCCACCTCCTAGGCAGCCATTAGCTCCTCAAAGTTTACCCAAATTTGGTTCTGATTGGTCAGTTTCTATGCCAGTCAGTGTCTCTGGGCCTGATCAGAGAAGCAGGGCTGATTAGCAGCCCCCGCAGAGGCGTGGAGAGAAAGAGGCGCTGCTGTTGGCCAGGCCCTGAGAGAAAGAGAGAGGCAAGGGCTGATCAATAGCTGCCTTGGAGGATACAGATCAGACCCTTCATCTCTGTCCAGGCCTCTCTCAGGGCCTGAGCTGCAGCCCAATTGGCAATCAGTATTGGGTTGCCACGCCCACAGCAGAGGCAGTCAGTGGTGGGTCGCCACAGCAACCTAGCACTGACTGCAGGACTGACTTGCGGTCAGTCGAGCCTTCGGTCGCTACAGACCCTGGGTTTTTATATATTAGGATTATTATTTTTCACAGCCCAGGTCTCACCCTGAATCTGATATGGAAAGCAGTATTCAAAACATGAACTTCACATGGAGCTAAGAGTTCCAAGGGAAAAGCAGTACAGTGGCTGTAACTGCTGCAGGGGCTTAGTCTTGGTTATGGAAATGTGGTAACTTCCCTTCTCTTTTGCTTGCATTCCAGGTGGGGAGACACCTGCCAAAAGTGAACTGGATGAACTGCAGGAAGAGGTGGCCAGGAGGGCCCAGGAACAGGAACTTCGAAAGAAACAAGAGAAGGAATTAGAGGCAGCCAAAGGGTTTAACCCTCATCCCAGCCGCTTCATGGACTTGGATGAACTGCAGAATCAGGGTAATTGTTGTGAGCATTAGATTATTGGTGATGGGGACAGCGAGAGAGGGAAGAAAAAAATATTCAAGCTTATAAATTTCATGTCTTCACTTTATTCTCAAAGTTATATTTTATCTTCAGCCATTTTGGTGAGAGCTAGTTAAAATAGAAGGTAACAGGCCTCTTGATTAGAGATAGGCACTGATTTGGGGCCCTTCTATTTAAGGCTTATAGATTAGAGATAGTATATTGTTCGTGAAAAATATTTCCCATGAACATCTATAGAAGGTGTAAATAAAACTAGTCACAGTTCAGAAATAGCAGGAAAGGGCAGTGTGCCAGCCACACTGAGCGAGGAATTCTACTTGCTGGGCAGAAACATACCTTCAGGATTTCCCACCGGGAGTTCTAGGGAGGTCAGTCTACCAAACAGGTTCTAGCAACATAGAACCTGATTGCCTTCTGGTCCTCTGGTCCATTTCCCAATCTCATATGACTTTCATGTGCTTTACTTCCGTTTCTTAACTGCCCCACATCTGTCACTTTTTTCCTTCCATTGCTTTAGTATGTCACTTTGTACCAGGTGAGATTAACTTTCAGATCAGTTCAAAAAAGCTCAGCTCTCTATCTACCTTAAATAGGCCCTGAAACCTATATCTCTGTTGTGTATTTTTTAAATAAAATTAATCTATTATTCTCATTATTCAGAATTCCTATATGAACAAATTGTGCTAAACCAGCATAAAAAACAGGAGTCAGTACTATTTTGGGTGCTTTGTGTTGATCACTTTCCTCTTTTTATCAACACTTAGAGAAGCTTCCTGGGCTAATTTGGGGGCCACTTTTCTCCTCTAATCTTGCAATCTTTTGATTTAAGTCAATTGTTGACTTTTATTTACCAAGGAATTGTTTTAAATTCCTTATTCCTTAGCTGTCCCTAAGGACAGTCTTTTCTCCCTGTGTATCCTCAGCTGTATTGCATTGGATCTCGGGTTTATGCTGCTTTTGAAAGAGGAGCCTCTCATCTCCCTCCCTCACATTTTTACAAACTCCCTTTGTCTGTAGGGGAGTAAGTACATTAAAGTTGAGATGGAATCCCTCTGGATATATTTCATTTTCAATTTTCCATACACTTCAATTTAGTATCTTCTGAAAAAGCAAGAAATGGAATTCTAAGATTCTAGAGGATAGGAATTAAAATGTAGTACAGTGATTGGTCAACTATAGTTTCCCTATATCTCTGTAGAGAACTTTGTTATAATGACTGTAGCCACCACCTGTTAATATAAAGGTTGAATAATCAGTTGATTTCAATTATGAGGAACTTCAGGCCTGGAGGTCAGGGGATTATGTCTCTGGGGGTGGCATAGAACCTGAATGCTAAATTCTTCAGAACCAACTTGCTACTTCCACCACCTTCCCATTACTCTTATAGAGCCAAGGTCGATTAGGGAGTGAACGGTAGGGGTGTGGAAGAGCCTTTTTTTTTTTACCATGTCCAACTAAAGGTAAGTGAGGATTGAGACATTAAGGGAGAAATGAGTGACATTTTGATTTTTTTTTTCTTGTGAGCTTGGGGAAACTCACCACTAATCCCAATTGTAGATGAATGTATATTACAGCTTACTACCAATTGATGGTTATTTAAGGCAAATGGGTACCTAAACTTGAGGAATCTTTTGCAGAAGTTGCCCTTACAGTACTTTCTTGCTTTTTCATCTGGCTCTGTACTTGGACTCTCCTGCACTGCTTTGGCATGCATTCACTTTCAGAGGAGGAAGGAATGTCTCATGCTCTCTGTATGGGAATGTAACTTTTGTGAGCAAGGGCATGATAAAGGTAAATACTTAGCTGTGCTGATGAAAGATATGTGGATGCAAACCAACAACAAAGGCAGTTCAACAGATATATTGAGGTTAGGAACTGTAGACCCCTGTGCCCAAGAGGTGTCCTGGTCTTCCAGATGAGGGTGAGCAGAAAGGACTGTGAGTTGATGTAGGAATAAAGTGTTGACAGATGGCTTTCCAGAGTAGTGAAGCCACTTTTGCCTTAACACAGCAGCTGAGGTTTCTTGGAGATCTGGGGTGGTCTGATACTGGTTGGCAAGATGTATCTTGTTGCACTGTAGAAAGGAAGGTCAATTCATGCATAAGAATCCACCCTTCCGCTATAGATAGTGCTTTGTTCTTTCCTTGAGGGACCCTTCTCCCTCCCCCGCCTAAGAGGTCTTGGAGTGGGAATATGTGGTAGACAATGACATACCCTCTTTCATGGCCTTGGGTAAGGTGTCAATTAAGGTAAAAATGGATGTTCTACGTGTTTCAGAGAATTCTTAATAGCAGTGGACAGTTGGAATAAGGGTAGACTGAAGGCTCAGCAGCAAGGATCTCTGTGCACTGAAGGGAAACAACAGTACATAGGAAAAGTTGGAAGCAACTGTAATGAAAATGAAAAGTGCTGGCCCTTTCAGGGAGGAGTGACGGCTTTGAGAGGTCCCTGAAGGAGGCAGATTCAGTATTTGAAGAGTCACTTCATCTGGAACAGAAGGGAGACTGTGCTGCAGCCTTGGCTCTCTGTAACGAAGCCATCTGTAAGTAACTCTAACCACTATGCCTATGGCACTTTTGATTAACTTCATAACAGGTATTAGTGTCGTCACTCAGGTGGGATAAAAGCAGCTTTTATGTCTCCTCACTCATTCTCCCAAAGTGAAAGGCCCTTTAGCTATCTTTGCTCCTCGGAGTTCTACTAGTAAGTGTGTCAGGCACTGACACTGTGGCCTATGGATATTTGCTGGAATAATCTCAGCAGGAGCCCACAGATGAATTACCCAGCAGGCCTACCTTCTTATCCCAGGATAAGTTAGACCTCAGATGTGAGGTTGGCTTGCTCTTTCTCTAGTCACTGACTAGTGAGGTGCAGCTTATGGCAGGAAAGAAGGAATGAACTGGCTGTGACTTTCCAGGCCTGTGACTTTGCACTGCATATTTGGTTCTTTATGTTTTCCCCCCGTCTTTCTGGTGTGCCAAACCATTAGGGTACAGCAAGGGACTAAGGCTTAGAATTTGTACCTAGTTCATAAGTGGGACCCACAAAAAGCTGTGCTCTGTAAAGACACACACAGGAGTGGATCTTACTTCTGTTGGCCGCCAGGAAGGGGGACTTGGGAGCAGAGTGTGGAGACCAGAGTTGGACAGATAAATTTCAAAGGACAAGAATGGCAACCTATAAGATGGAAACACCGGTTTACCTTCCTAATTCATTTTAGTTTAACTTTTTGTTTATTTGTTTTTAAAATTTGAATTAACCTGTTTAGCCTCCATGGCTTCTGCGAATGTTCCTTATAGCCAGGGCCAGCTCTGTGCCCTGATAGCATATGCATGGTCCACGCCTTACATTCCTGCTGCATATTTTGAGTTTGACTGCATATCTTTGCTCATTTTTGGTTCAATTTTATTCTTTTTATTTTTGTTTGTATTTTGTGTTCTGTTCCTGCTATATTTTCTTTTGCATTTTAGCTAAACTAAGACTTGCCCTGCATGGTGCCAGCTCTAGCACGCACAGCAGAGCCCTAGTCGATAAGAAGTTGCAAATCAGTATTCGAAAAGCACGGAGCCTGCAGGATCGCATGCAGCAGCAGCAATCATCGCAGCAGCCGCCGCAGCCCTCAGCCTGCCTCCCCTCACAGGCCGGGGCCCTCCCTCAGCCAACAAGGTAGTGCTGGGAACCACAGCAGTTCGTGTCTGCCAGGGGAGGAGAGCCCAGGGGTGCCCCAGAGCCAGAGCTCTCATTGTCTTGGCAACTACAGGGGAGAGAAGACTCCTCTGAAAAAGCTTCTCCTACGTCAGACATACAGTGAAAGCTCATCCCACTGCTGGTTCTTTTCTTAATAGTTCCTGGAAAGATGCAGGAAGTATAGCATAATAAATAGACCATTTGTTTGTATTTCCTGTGGGGGAGTTTGTCCCTGGATTTGTGTAGTGACACGATTATTAAATTTGTACATATGACATTCTTAGACATGGCAATCCAAGCTACATTTCATGTTGGAGAAGCTATGTGAATTATTTTGGGATTTCAGTGGCTTATTGTCCCTCATGGAAGCAGAGAAAACTGTCTTCCTTGCTCAGATGAAACCATAGAGAAGTGACATGAAGATTTCCTTTGTTTTGCTTGGCTATGGTTAGGACTGGCCATTAGTGTAGTTCTCACAATTTAGCCCTTGAATTTGGCTGTTCCTTAGATAGATTTAAGTAAAAGTAAACATTGGCTGTTAATAAACCTGAGTAGTTTTCACAACATAAACATTATAAAAGCAGCTAGCATTTTTTTAATATCTGCATATGCCCAGGCACTAAATTTAAACACTTTATGTTTTATTGTATTTAATTCTCACAATAAACTTAGGATAAGGACTATTATTTAGTGATACTGTATAAATAAAGAAATCAGGCTTAGAGGATAAGATAAGTAAGGTACACAATATTATTCAGCTAATAAGTGGTAGAAGCGTGGAATTCAAATCCAGGTAGGTCTATTTGACTTCATTAGGCTTTCCATATAAATATAATATCATATTTTCCATAATGTTATAAAAATAAGAGTGGCTGAGTGACTGTACCCACAAAAGTTTATAGCATATTGTCATGTAAATGTAATTCTTCTGTTGTATACTCCACCAGCAGAATGAGAGCCTGATCAGATATGTTTTGAATATAAGCAATTTAGGCAACTAAACTCTTTCCAGAAAACTTATGCCACTTGATGTATGTGAATGATCGGGGTTTTATTTTAGTTCTTCTAACTCAATTTTTAGGTCAGAAATACAAAACAATTAGTGAGAAACCAATATTAGTAAATACAGTTAATCCTGACTTCTACTCCCAAATTCCAAGGCAGTCACGGTACCTTACTTTGGGGAAACATCTCGGTGAGTAATACAACCAAATTCAGATTATGAGAACATATTTGAAATGGTTGATTTTTATGTAACCCATGAGCCCAAATCCCCATGTGCTCTGTACATATGGCCTTTTGGTTGTTCTGCCTCTCAGGACCCCACATATGAGCGATTTCTAGGTTTTGCTTACTTTCCAGGTCACCTGCCTGTGGGACTAGCAATTTTTTTTTTTAAATTTGCAAGTAAAATATGATTGGAATAGGACGGTGTGGGTAGTAAAGAATATTGGCAAGGGCTTTACTTAATATTACTGAGTGCAGTTTTGGTGAGGACATGTAATAAAGAAGATTAATCTTTAATTGGGTGTGAGCAGACCATGTGCCTTCTCTTGTGACTTCCTTGTGCTTGTCTTTCCATTTATTTTCACCATTCCCCTCAGTGGATAGCTAGAACTTGGAACTGAATGAACAGTTTTTTTTTGTAAGTGATCTTATCAATCAAGACAGCTTACAATTGGCTCTCTCCCTTTATTTCAGTGAACAGCCTATCCCGCTCCAAGTATTGTTAACCCGGGAGGCCCAGCTGGAACCCTACACGAGCACCGAGTTTGGGGCCAGTTCTTTCGTCTACTCACCTGCTTCCTGCCATGAGTCGCACTCATCACTGTTCTCAGAGTCATCTGCCCTCTCTGCCCCACAACGTAACTCCCCCAGTAGGACTGCCTCAAACCTTCCTAATGCAGCTGAGGTAGATAGCATTGATCCCTCTGTGTTCCACAGGCAGGGCTTACCTAAAACACCAGGGAGGACTGAGAAGAACTCTCATCATGCTTGGGAACCATTGGATGTACAAGAGGGAAAGCTGCAAGGCTACAGGGATGACAACAGCAGCTGCAACAGGTTCCCCCCTCAAGAAGGAAGAGGCATTGATCAAGAAGAGCTATTTCAAGAAAAGAGGGATACTGCTGACTCATCCCAGGCGATGGCTTGGTCACATCCAACTGGAACAGCTGGGTGTGAGAGAGGAGATGCACACACCCTAGGCTGTAGTCCTGCAAGTTCATCAGCTCAGCCTGGCCTCCCCCTTTACAGAGCCTGCCACCCTATAACGCCTGCTGCTTCCTCATCTGCATTTCACTCTCCTGATATTGTGCAGAAAACTAATCAATGCCTCCAAGCCAAAAGCCTCACAACTTCGTTGACGTCAAAAGTGGACGGAAGCAGTGAGGAGCCCTGTAGGCCAGAGTTTCCGGGCACAAAGGGGCTTGTTCGCTCTCTGACAGAACAGTTCCAAAGGATGCAAGGCACCACCACCAGGGATGGCACAGGCTCCCAGGACAGAAGTGTTCCAAATAGTCGAAAGAAGAACCCTCCTCCTTCTGACTCTCAGCCTCCTTTTCCACAAGGTCAAGGGAAAGGCCATTGGCCTCGGGCTAAACAGCAACCCTCTCTGGATGGTAGGGACAGACTGCCTTCCCGGGAAGAAACTCCTGATCATCCTTCCCTTGTGATGAACTCTGGGCTACCTAATGGTGAAACTTCTTGGGGAGGACAACCCAGGTTGGCAGAGCCAGATATGTACCAAAGGAAGCCATCTCAAGTAAGAGATGCTAGGCCTAAGGAGTCAGGAGGCGATGTTGACTTGGGGCCTCCCTTGTCTTTGGATTCCTGGGTGAATGTCACAAGGCTCTGTGATTCTCAGCTTAAACATGGGGCCCCTGGGCCAGAAACAAAATCCTCCCCAAACAATCCCCGTACTTATGTAGCCTGTCCAGACAGAAACCACATCTTTTTTCATCCACATTGGAACCAAGATACAGAGCAGGAGACCTCAGAATTGGAGTCTCTCTACCAGGCCAGCCTTCAGGCTTCTCAAGCAGGCTGGTCTGGATGGGGGCAGCAGGACGTGGCCTGGCATCCACCTAGCCAAACAGGTAAGCATGCTACCAGGGGTGGGATCGGGGGACCTATAGAAGCTGAAAGCATGCCGAAACCAGTTTGGCTCAGTAGATAGAGCGTCGGCCTGTGGACTGAAGGGTCCCGGGTTCGATTCCGGTCAAGGTTCGACCAGCTGCCTCTTACACACCCCCTACTGGGGATGTGCCTGCAATCAATGTACCTTGATTGCAGGCACATCCCCAGGGGAGGGTGTGCAGGAGCAGCTGATCGATGTTTCTCTCTCATCAATATTTCTGACTCTCTCCCTTCCTCTCTGTAAAAAAATCAATAAAATATATGTATTCAGCCGAAACCGGTTTGGCTCAGTGGTAGTGCGTTGGTCTGCGGACTGAAAGGTTCCGATTCTGGTCAAGGGCATGTACGTTGGTTGCGGGCACATCCCCGGTAGGGGGTGTGTAAGAGGCAGCTGGTCGACGTTTCTCTCTCATCGACGTTTCTAGCTCTCTATCTCTCTCTCTTCCTCTCTGTAAAAAATCAATAAAATATATATTAAAAAAATATATATATACATATGTATTCAAAAAAGAGTAGGCCTTCCTTTCCCTGGCTGCTGGCACGAGATTCCCTCTGGCACCTGGGACCTGGGCTTCCCTCTGGCCGCCAGCCAGTAGGCACCTGGGACCTGGGCTTCCCTTGCAGCCCCAGCTTTGTACAGAAGGATATCCAGTCTAATTAGCATATTATGCTTTTATTATTAAAGATATTGTTAACTATAGTCATAGTCCCAAGAACTTATAACTGGAAATTTATACTCTCTGACTAACATCTCCCCCAACCCCCATGCCCCACAATCCCTGGCAACTATCATTCTATTTTCTGTTTCTATGAGTATAAATTCTACATATGAGATCATATAATATTCGTTTTTCTCTGACTTGTTTTTTTTAAAGCTTTATTGTTATACTAGAGGCCCAATGCACAAATTCCTGCACAGGTGGAGTCCCTCAGGGTGGCCTGCAGGAATTGGGCCAAAACCTGCAGTCCAATGCTGCCTGCCACTCCTGCCTGCTACTCCCATTTATCCCAGCCCCTTTGCACCTGCCACCCCGCCGTGAGCCCTGCATCTGGCGCCCGTCCCAAGTGGGGGATGGGGCTAGGACATGATTGGCCCTCCGGGCAGGCAGTGGGATGCCTTTGCCTGCTGGGGACCCCATCCATCCTGCTGACATTCATGCCAATTGTCGGGAGCCACCTAGTGGCCAATTTTATATAGTTTCTTCATTGCAGAATGGGAAGTGGCAACAGTGCCTGAGGCCAAATCCTAGGAGGTGGGTGACCATCAGGATCTTGCCAGTGGCGCCAGTCTGTTGGTGGTTGGCCTGCTCTCCAGAGATTGGACCTGCAGGACTACTGAGGGAGTGAGTGGCTGCCACTGGGCTTGTGGACCACCAGGATGGGTAGGTCAGCTGAGTGGCACTCCTGCTGCAGGAGTGCACTGACTACCAAGGGGCAGCTCTTGTGTAGAGCATCTGCCCCCTGGTGGTCAATGCACATCATAGCGACCAGTCGACTGGTCTTCGGTTGCTTAGGCTCATCTATATATAGATAATTTATGTATCATACAATTAACTTAAACTGTAAAATTCAGAGGTTTTTATTATATTTACAGTTGTTCATCCATAACCACAATTTTAAAGTGTTTTCATCACCCTCCAAAAAAAGCCTATATCCATTAGTGGTCACTACCCATTTCCTTCTATCCCTTTTCACCAGCCCAGGCAACCTCTACTCTATTTTCTGTGTATAGATTTGCCTATTAGGGACATTTGATATAAATGGGATAATATAGAATACTGTTTTTGTGACCAGATTGATTTTGACATAGTTATAGTACCTAAAAATTAACAAAAACACTAGAGTCTCAGTGCATGAATTCATGAACTAGTGGGGTCTGTTGGTTCAGCCTGCAGGATCGGGCCAAACCGGCTCTCTGACATACCCCAAGGGGTCCCAGGTTGCAAGAGGGTGCAGGCGAGCCTGAGGGACCCCACTGGTGCACAGTTGGTGCCAGGAAGGGACGCAGGAGGTTGGCCATCCAGGGAGGGGCCACAGGAGGGTTCCAGGGCATGTCTGACCCATCTTGCTCAGTCCCAATTAGCTCGACCCCAGCAGCAAGCTAACCTACCGGTCGGAGCATCTGCCCCCTGGTGGTTAGTGAACATCATAGTGACTGTCTGCCCCCTGGTGGTCAGTGCATGTTATAGTGAGCAATTTAGTGACCTTTGCATATAATTACCATATTATGCTTTGATTGGTTGAATGGACAACCAGACACTTAGCAGATTAGGCTTTTATTATATAGGCTAGCCAAAAATTGATTTAGTTATAGTACCCTCTCCTTCCCCTTTTTCACTGGATTATTTTAAAGCAAATCCCCAGACATTTCATCTATAAACTAGACTCCTGATGCACAAAATTCCTGCAAGAGTAGGCCTTCACAGCCACGATGGCTGCCTGGATCCCTCTCTCACAGCCATGGCAGCTGCCTTGATCCCATGGCTGCAGCCCCGGCTTCATTTGGAAGGTGGTCTGGAAGGACATCTGGTTTAATTAGCATATTATGCTTTTATTGTTATAGACTCTAGGCCTGATGCATGAAATTCGTGCCAGGGGCTCGGCTCTCGAAGCCACAGTGGCTGCCTCAGCCCTTGCAGCCCTGGCTTTGTCTGGAAGGACATCCAGAAGGTCATTTAGTTGTCCAGTCTAATTAGCATATTATGTTTTTATTATTATAGATTTTATTATTATAGATAGTTTAGAATCTATTTCAAAGAAATAAAGACTTTTATTATTTTTTTGAAATATTTTTTTATTGATTTTTTTACAGAGAGGAATGGAGAGGGAAAGGGATAGAGAGTTAGAAACATCAATTCAGCTGCCTCCTACACACTCCCTATTGGGGATGGGCCTGTGACCAAGGTACATGCCCTGGACCAGAATTGAACCTGGGACCCTTCAGTCCGCAGGCCAATGCTCTATCCACTGAGAAAACTGGTTAGGGGGCTAAAAGACTGTTTTACTTACTTATTTGTTTTTTTATTTTTTATTTTTTGTAAGTTTCAGCTTTTATTTTTTCTTTAATTTAATAAATCTTCATTGTTCAGATTATTACAATTGTTCTTCTTTTTTCCCCCATAGCTCCCCTCACTCGGTTCCCACCCCACCCCCTGCCCTTACTTCCCAACCCCAGCACTGTCCTCATCCATAGGTGTATGATTTTTGTCCGGTCTCTTCCTGCACCCTTTCCCCCCCGAGAATTTTCAGTCTACGCCCTTTCTATTCCACTGATTCTATTATATTCATCAGTTTATTCTGTTCCTCAGAGTTTTAATTCTCTTGATTTTTAGATTCACTTGTTGATAGATATGTATTTGTTGTTCATAATTTTTATCTTTACCTTTTTCTTCTTCTTCCTCTTTTTAAAGAGTACCTTTCAGCATTTCATATAATACTGGTTTGGCGGTGATGAACTCCTTTCTTATCTGTAAAGCACTTTATCTGCCCTTCAATTCTGAATGATAGCTTTGCTGGGTAGAATAATCTTGGTTGTAGGTTCTTGCTATTCATCACTTTGAATATTTCTTGCCACTCCCGTCTGGCCTGCATAATTTCTGTCATATGGGTGCTGACAATCATATGGATGCTCCCTTGTAGGTAATTAACTGTTTTTCTCTTGCTGCTTTTAATATTCTCTCTTTGTCTTTTGCTCTTGGCATTTTAATTATGATGTGTCTTGGTGTGGTCCTCTTTGCATTCCTTTTGTTTGGGGTTCTGTACGCTTCCTGGACTTGTAAGTCTATTTCTTTTACCAGCTGGGGGAAGTTTTCAGTCATTATTTCTTCAAATAGGTTTTCAGTATTTTGCTCTCTCTCTTCTTCTGGCATCCCCATTATTCTGATGTTGATACGCTTGAAGTTGTCCCAGAGGTTATCTTCAAATTTTTGGATTCTTTTTGCTTTCCGGGTTGAGTGTTTTTTTATTTCTTTGCATTTCAAATCTTTGACTTGATTCTTGCATCCCTCTAGTCTGCTGTTGGGTCTCTGTATAATTTTTTTTTTTATTTCACTCAGTGTATGTTTAATTTCTAGCTGGTCCTTTTTCATATCCTTGAGGGTCTCACTAAATTTATGGGCCTTTTCTAGGAAATTATTGAAAAGCCTTATAACCGTGCTTTTGAACTCTATATCCAGTTGTTTGTTTTCCTCCATTTATTTTGTTTGTGATCTGTTTCTTTGTCTCCACATTTTCGCTGCTTTTCTGAGTTAGTAGGGTAGCTTTGTGTGTTAGGTGTTCTATATGGCCCAGTGGCTCGACCTCCCCAGTTACCTGAGGTGGACACTCGTTTCCCACCTGCTAGGGAAAGCCAGCGGTACTCAGCAGTCAGTCCTTTCTTTGCGCACTCGTGTGTGTGCCTCTAGACCTCTGCCTTTCGCCTCCCCTGAGTTTCTGCCCGACAGTCCAGATTCCCCCCATATAAGCCTGGGTCCCCAGGGTCTCACCCAGAACTGGGGTTCAGTGCAGTCGGAAGCTTTTGTTTCCTTCCCGCTAGAGAAAGCCAGCCAGGCACTCAGCCGCCTGAGTGCGTATCTCCGTACCTCAGCCTTTTGCAGCTCCTCTGATTCTCTGTGTGCTTTCCTCTTTCCTTCTAGTTGTAGAATTTCCACTCAGCCAGCTTTCCTGTACTTCTGGATGATGTTCATTTTGTCTTTTAATTGTAGTTTTGAAATTGTTGCGTGAGGCAGCTGTTTAGGTATTTACCTATGCCGCTATCTTGGCTTCTCCTATTATGGATAATTTTACTGTTTCTCTCTCCTCCCTTCACATTAATCCCTACCTTTTATTCCCACTTTCCCAGGTAATAATATAATGTGCATATTTTTATTTTATTTTACTGTTTATAAAATCTTATATAGATCTAAATATAGTGGGTTGTTTTTTTTTTTGGGGGGGGGGTAATATTACAGGTTTTTTTTTTTTTTTTCCTTTTCATGAAAATCCCTCCCAAGTTCGGGCAGATGCCAAGGATGTGGGCTTAATCCCCAGTAGGGGGCATGCAGAATGCAGCTGATGGATGTTTCTCTCTCCTCAGTATTCCTCTCTATCTCTCTTTCTCTCAAATCAATAAAAATATATTTAAAATAAATAAGTAAATTTTTCTGTGCTCTAATCACAAAAATTCCGAGTCAGTAGGTCTGTGGAGAGGTACACGAAGCTGTATTTTTTAAAGCTCCTAGATGAATCTGATGTGGTTTTAGAACAACTACATTTAAATTCCAGGAAACATTAAATTATAACTGGTCTTCTAGCTTAATATCAGCAATATCATGCGTCAGCCTGATAACATATAGAATCAAAATATCATATCAAGACAGGAATTGGTGATAGGCATAGATATATCAAATACAGGTCAAGGGCATGTGCATCTTCAGGATGGAAGGCTTATTTAGTTATATTGGGGCAAGCCTCTTGGGAGTCACATAACCAGTTTGTAGCAGTTCTTAACAGTCTAGCAGGATTTTGAGGAAGAGTTAATCATTTAGTGATTATTTAGAATTTAAGTGATTGAGTCCAGCTGGCATAGCTCAGGGTTTGAGCTTCAACCTATGAACCACGAGGTCACGGTTGGATACCTGGTCAGCGCACATGCCCAGGTTGCAGGCTCGATCCCTAGTGTAGGGAGTGCAGGAGGCAGCCGATCAATGATTCTCTCTGATCATTGATTTTTTTCCCCTCTCTCTCCCTCTTCCTTTTTCTCTGAAATCAATAAAAAATATATATTTAAAAAAAAAAGAATTTAAGTGATTGAGAGAAGCTAATGGAAATAAAAACATTACACATAGAAAATGTTACTGAAGAGCTCCTATTTATAATATTAGGGAGCAAAAATTGGAAGACTTGAATTTAAAATATATATATATATATATTTTATTGATTTTTTACAGAAAGGAAAAGAGAGGGATAGAGAGTTAGAAACATCGATGAGAGAGAATCACCATCAGCTGCCTCTTGCACACCTCCTACTGGGGATGTGCCCACAAACCAGGTACATGCCCTTGACCAGAATTGAACCCAGGACCCTTCAGTCCACAGGCCAACGCTCTATCCACTGAGCCAAACCGGTTTCGGCGGAAGACTTGAATTTTAATACTGGTTAAAGTACTTACTACCTGTCAGATCATGGAACTTATTTTCCCATAATGTGAAATGAGGAGGTTTGATAGGTGATTACTCAATCATTTCAATTTTTAACTAGACTATAGACAGTTTCTTTGTTATCATAGATACTCTAGAGCAGTGGCTCTCAACCTTCCTAATGCTGCCACCCTTTAATACAGTTCCTCATGTTGTGGTGACCCACAACCATAGAATTATTTCATTGATACTTCATAACTGTAATTTTGCTCCTGTTATGAATCGTAATGTAAATATCTATGTTTTCCAATGGTCTTAGGCGATCCTGCTAGTGGTTCCCACAGGTTGAGAACCACTGCTGTCACCCCAACATAAAGAACTGTATTAAAGGTTCGCAACATTAGGAAAGCTAAGAACCACTGCTCTAGAGAATCATTGTGTTGGAAAATTTTCTCTGTATTATAAGTCTTGGGGCCAAGTCTGACAGAAGCAAAGTTAATGTGTTTACAAAAAAATGAAATGAGGCAAGATGGGGACATTCAACTATTTCTCCACAGAGCCCCTTCTCTATAAGATTCTTCAAGGCCTGTGCTCTGAGACCTTCTTGTGGCCTATAAGAAACTACACATATTCTGAAACTCCTGTTTCTACATTCCAGGAGCATACCCTCAATTAGATTTAGGGATGCATATTTATTATTTAATGAAACAACTCCTGAATGTTGTGCTGTGAGGCTCAGAGTTTAGGCTCTAAGAAAAAGGATGGCTTCAACTTGTATTTACCTTTTCCTCCTCAGGCTCTGCAGATGACGTGGGAAGGAGGTTGCACTCAGCCCCTGGCCTTGGTCTCTCAAAGACCCCAACAGCAGAAATGGAGCAGAGTCTCCATGAAGCCAGCATAGTGCCTGCTTCTCAGGTAGCAGTCTCAGGGGCTGGGCATGGGTTGGGGAAGAAATTGTGGTTATATGAGCGGTTGGCTTGGTGGTAAGCAGGGGCATGGTAACGTGGAGCTATTAGACGAAAACCAGGTCTATGATCCAGCTTTTTTTGAGGGAGAGGAGATTGCCACTTGGGCACTACCTTTCAAATACATCTAATTCAGGTCTCTACTGGTGACTCCTACCTTATTCTCTCCCACATCCCTGGGGACAGGGTCTGTGGGAAAATCATAGGTCTGGTTTTATGTGTTTATCCATGTGTGCCTGTGTATTTGAAGGCTACTCCTTGTTTGAGGTCCCAGCAGGGAGTATGGGGATAAACACAGTGCAGAGAATTTTTGCTGCATCTCATGTAACCTCAGTGGCACTGTTGTCTGAGAGTGGGAGGCGGTCCCAGTCTCTTGCACAGTTTTGTAAGTGTCTGTCTATTCAGAGCACCTCTTTCTCTTGCTGGGTAAAATATGGTGTAAGTGAAAGGGAAGAAGAAACTGATGGTTGTAATTTTGGGGGAAACTATGTGCACTCAGCAAAAATGAGGACACATAATCATTATTTTATTGACTCACAGTTAGTTGGCGTCCAGGGGAATGCCCGTTCCCTGTAGCAGTTCTGCCAGGTGTGTTATAGCCTCTCTCTAGTAGCTTGAGAGAGGTCTCTAAGAAGCAGTGGCTGCTGATTTGGGTCAGAACCCATTGCACTAGTCAACGGAGGAGATGGGATGGAATGTTGTTTTGCTTTTCTCTCCATCTCATTACATGATTGAGTGAAGTCCAGTGTGCTTTCAAGTTGAAATGAAGCATTTGCATTAGCAATAAAAGAAAAATGATTATAAAATCCTCATTCTGAGGCCTTTCTTTTTTTTAATTTGTTATTTATTGATGAGAGAGAGAGAGAAAGATCAATTTGTTATTCCACTTATTTATGCATTCATTGGTTGATTCTTGTATGTGCCCTGACAGGGGATGGAACTATGACCTCCTGGTTCATAGGTTGATGCTCAACCACTGAGCTTGAGGCCTTTCTTACATAATTAATGTGGTAATCTGTAGGTGAAAGGGACAGGGAAACCCACATCTACAGAGATCGCAAACTCAAATAGTTTCAGTGCCTGGGTTTATAAATTGTGCCTTTTGAGAAGTTCACACAATTGCCCAGAACAAGTTGAGTTTTCATTATAATAGAGGTCAAGATGCAAAGCACCAGTGCACTGAAACTTGTTCACCAGGTTAGTTCAATAAAAATTTAGAAACAGGTTTTAAATATGTGGTATAAAAATGGAAAGAATTAATGAAATAGGGGCTGGTATGCAGATGCGCCAGGCCGCCAGCCAAGGTGGGTGCCAGCAGAGGACCCCAGTTGCCCCACCAGTTGCCCCACAGATTGGTCCTGATCACCGCCAGGTCTAGGGACCCTACTCTATATATTGGGAACGGTCTCTTAGATTTAAAAATTCAAACCTGGCAAGGCTACTCTAACACTGAAAAACAGGATGATGCAGCGATGACACGCATGGACTATGGCTTGCACATTTTGTGGTCATCCCTGATTCTGTGTGACAAAGCCAGTTATTTAACTTCTCTCTGCTTCAGTTTTTCCACCCATAAGGTGGGGAAAATGGTACTACTGTCTCAGAAGGATCATGTTATGTACTATTTTTTATAATCAGGGCAAAATATGTAGCTGCCCATACAACTGCAAGATGCCTTTCACGTGTATGAAAAGTATGGTCACTGGTGCATGCAGTGTTCCGGATTGTGAGAGGGATGTCCAACTGCTGGTTTAGGCCCGATTCAGCAGTCGGACATCCCTCTCATTCCCCAAGAGGTCCCTGATTGTGAGAGGGCACAGACTGGACTGAGCCCTCACCCCAAACCCTGGCACCCTGTGAACTAATTTTGTATACTGGGCTTCTAGTATATATATATAACAGGTAAAGGGACCTGAATTAAAAGAAGCTACTTTGGTATGGCAAAATTAGAGTCTGACAAGGGGAGGATGGAGAGTGTTGACAAGTGAGACTGGAAAGAATATAAACAAGGGCTATATCATGAACCACAGTAAGGAGTTTGGGAAGATAGAAGTGGACATTACTAGAGAGCCAATTAGGAAGCAAAAATCCGTGGGTTGGTGCCTGCCTGCCTGAATATGGGGAAAGGAAAATCAAAGATCTTATCCAGAAATTATGAGTTGATTGATATGGTATATTTGAAGGAAGAGAAGTAAGAATATATTTGAAGGAGGAGAATTATACAATTTTAGATGTATAGGGTGGGGCAAAAGTAGGTTTACAGTTCATATGGGAATCCTATCTAATAAAAGAGTAATATGCAAATTGACCATCACTCCAACACAAGATGGCCACCCCTATGTGGTCAAAGATGGCCATTCCTATGTGGACACAAGATGGCCACCACAAGATGGCCAACAGGGAAGGGCAGTTGGGAGGGACCAGGCCTGCAAGGGAGGACAGTTGGGGGCAATCAGGCCAGCAGAGGAGGGCAGTTGGGAGGAACTAGGCCTGCAAGGGAGGGCAGTTAGGGGTGGCCGGGCCCACAGAGGAGAGCAGTTGGAGATGACTGTTCCAGCAGGGGAGGGCAGTTAGAGGCAACCAGGCCTGCAGGGGAGGGCAGTTGGGGAGAACCAGTGCAGGGGAAGAGAGTTAGGGATTACCAGGCCAGCAGGGGAGGGCAGTGTGTGTGTGTGTGTGTGTGTGTGTGTGTGTGTGTGTGTGTGTGTCCCAAGGGCTGGCAGGAGAGCAGTTAGGTGTTGATCAGGGTGGCAAGGGAGTGCTTAGGGTATGATCAGGCTGGCAGGTAGAAGCGATTAGGGGCAATCAGGCAGGTAGCAGGCAGGTGAGCGGTTGGGAGCCAGCAGTCCTGGATTGTGAGACGGATGTCCGACTGCCCATTAAATGGCAGTCAGACATCTCTCAGGGGAGTCTCAGATTGGAGAGGGTACAGGCTGGGCTAAGGGACTCATGCCCCCATGCATGAATTTCATGCATTGAGCCTAATAAATAATACAAGAACAAACTCTGTGTTTTGTGTAGCCATAACTGTAAGCCTGCTTTAGCCCATCCTATATTAAGCTTGAGTGGAGGTATGTGGTAGGCCTTAGGATGTGAGACATATTTGCTTGAAGTTGAGATTTGTGCATCATAGCCATTGAAAAGAGGAAAGGGGACTTTCCGAGAAGACCAGAATATATCCCTGAAGAGTGTCAGATTCAAGGTAGTTCTTCTGAAGAACTCAAAAAGGGGACTTGGCAAAAGGGACCAAAGAGATAGAGGGAAAACGGGAGAGTGTGGTGTCACTTTCATCTGCCCCGAAGAAAGGAATAGTTGTGGATAGGGAGATCTGGGGGAGATAAGAGATCAACCGAAGGACTTGTATGCATGCTTATAAGTACAAGCAATGGACACAAAACTCTGGGAAGGGAGGGCATGTATGGAAGGAGGGGGCAATGGTAAGATATGTACACAGATAATAATTTAATAAAAATAAATAAAAAAATTTTAAAAAAGGAATAGTAGTTGTCTGTGTCACATGCTAAGAGGAGCTGGTCCTTAGGCTATATGATAAATGCCTGTGTGCCATGCTCTGGTAGATGCTGTGAGCATATTGATAAAACAACACAAATTCTGTCCTCGAATAGCTTGCAATCTAGTAAAGGAAATAAGATATACTGGCATATAGATTATTTATTTTTTATAAAGTGCCTATAATATTCCAGGTGCCGGGGATACTGGAGTAAGAAGAAATGTATTCTACTAGGTGAGAAAGACAATAAACAAGTTAATCCTAGACAATGAATGATAAAAAAGAATAAAACAAAGCAAAAGGGAAAAAGGAGTAAGGAGGTAACTGTTTATTCGCAGGGTTATTTTTTTAAAATGTATTTTTATTGATTTTAGAGAAGAAGGGAGAGGGAGAGAGAAGTAGAAGCATCAATGATGAGAGAGAATCATTGATCTGTTGCCTCCTGCATGTCCCCCACTGAGGATTGAGCCCCCAACCCGGGCATGTGCCCCTGATGGGACCCTTCAGTCCACAGGCCAACGCAATATCCACTGAGCCACACCAGCCAGGGCCTCAGGGTTATTTTTGATAGAGTAGGGAGGGAAATCGGCTTAAGGAAGTAATATTTGGTCAGAGGCCTCAGTGATATGAAGGTGTGAGCCATGGGAAGAGCATTCCAGCTAATAGAAGCAGTAAGTGTAAAGAGCCTAAGGTGAAATGAGCGTGGCACGTTTGAGGAACATTAAGAAGGTTAGCATGTAAAAGGTGCAGGAATGGTGTTGGAGATAGATGAGAAAGATTGGCATTGCCATATCACCTAGGAACTTGCAGGCCACAGTAATGAGGTAGCAGGCTATAGTGGAGATAGGAAGATCAGTTCAGATGTTGTCTCCAGGGCCCAGTTAAGTTGAAATATGAAACCTACTGGTGGAAATAACAGTACTTGGCAAAGGCAACTAATGGAATTGTGGATAAAAAGTGCAAAATTAAGGGCAATGTCAACATTTGAGTATGGATGGCTTTAAAAAATGTAGTACCTGGGGGAGGAGTTTGGAAGAATGTTGGTTCACTTGTGTGCATATTAGTGTTTCACATGTTAAAAAGGGGAAATTTCTGATATTTTTGCCACAAAAGTGAGTGACGAATGGAGTATAAAGCAGGGTATACTGGTAAGCATCAGAGGGTGCAAACTTGACAGACAAACAAAGAGATTGTGGAATGTAGCAGTGAGAGGAAAGAAAATTTAGTAGTAGAGTTCTTGATGGTACACTGAAGGATATATATTTTGGTTTTTAATATTTAGAGAGAATATAGAATTTTCTTTTTCAATCTCTCAGGCTTTTGTAATTTCTCATTTCTTCTTTATTTTTAAATTTCTATTTCTCTCTCTAATTCTACTGTTAGCATTAAAGCGTTTGCTAAAGACGTAGATGGTGGGGTTGGGAAGATGAAGGCTACAGAAGAAGACAAGAGAAGAGGATCTGCAGTTTGGTGTCTTCAGTTTATAGTGATCAGGAGTTTCTAACAAGACTAACAGGAAGAGTGACTGAGTAAATTGAGTTGTTTTTTTTTTTCCAGAACAAGGCATGTTTGCACTTTAGTTCCCTCCATCTCCCCCTCATTGCCTCACTGTGTTTACCTAACCATATCCTGCTGTGTTAATTCTCATCTCTGTGTTTTTTGTCGTCTCATTATAAGGATTCATCAAACGCAAGGAAAAAGGCTTTGGAAACCGGGCACCGTTGTTCCAGCTCCTCTTCCCTCCCTGTCACTCATGACCCTCCTGTGTTTCTCCTTGGTCCCCAGCTCTACCCACCCCATCCACAGCTCCTGTCCCCAGAAGTCTTGATGCCAAGCATAGCAGGGGAGCCCCATAGACCCCCAGGTAACTCTCCCCAAGTCTAACATTATGTGCCCGAATGTGGTACCTTTCCAGGGACTTAAAGGTTCAAACTAGTCCACCTATAGGTAGGGGTGTGTGCGTGTGTGTGTGTGTGTGTGTGTGTCCCAAGGAGGGGTTGTAAAGGGGTAAGAAATATTGTTTTAGGATGTAGCATTGAGCTAGATGAATTGTGATTGAGTCATTTCTTGGGCAACATGCTTCTTAGACTAAAGGTCTAAACCAGAGTTGCCAGAATCTAACTACTCATGAAAATGAACTGCTTCAGTCCTGATAGAATAAGCTTTTAAGTGACCCAGGGTAGTTAATACCCAGTCTTTAGGATTTCCCCGCCTCCCAAAGAACAGCAACGAAGTATCATCTCTATTAGTTTTCTCTCCTTCTATCCCCTAAGTGTCAGTTGAAGGATGGTTTAGAAGGCAAGGAGTGAATGGGAGATTTGGGAAGGCCCTGTACATGGAATACCCATGCCACATATACAGATCCAAACAATCCTGGGAAAGTGGGCAGCATCCATCTGGTTTTCTATTAGTACATAGTGAGATTTGCTTCCTTTCCTCTTCATGGGCTGAATCTACAGTTTAAGGTACTGATTCTTATGGGAAAGGGGAAGTGATACTACCCTGTTTCCCCCAAAATAAGACAGTGTCTTATATTAATTTTTGCTCCCAAAGATGCGCTAGGTCTTATTTTTAGGGGATGTCTTATTTTTCCATGCGCTAGGTCTTATTTTCAGAGGATGTCTTATTTTCGGGGAAACACGGAAGCATCTATCCCCCAAACAAGGAATTATCGGCTCCAAATATCAGAGTTTTAAGGTTGAGAAATTTAAGGTTGGCTTATGGATATAAATGCCTTAGGGCAGGGGTGGTTGTGGTTATAGAAGAGAGAATAATATTGTTGATATTACTACATTTTTGTTGTTGATGTTGTTAATTCTCACCCAAGGATATTTTTCCATCCATTTTTGAGAGAGAGAGAGAGAGAGAGAGAGAGAGAGAGAGAGAGAGAGAGAGAGAAAACACATCCATGTGAGAGAGACACATCAATTGGTTGCCTTCTACACGGCCCGACCAGGGCTGGGGTCCGAGCCTGTAACTGAGATACATGCCTTGTCTGGAATTGACCCCAGGACCCCTTCAGTCCATGGTCCAGCATTCTATTCACTGAGCCAACCAGCTAGGACTGTGTCCACATATTAGCTAGATTTAGATAAGCAGGCCTTCTGGATAGATGGACTTTCTTTTTTTTTTTCTTTTTCTTTTTTTTTTTTTTAATATATTTTTATTGATTTTACACAGAGAGGAAGGGAGAGGGACAGAGAGTTTGAAATATTGATGAGGGAGAAACATCAATCAGCTGCCTCCTGCACACCCCCCTACTGGGGATGTGCCCGTAACCAAGGTACATGCCCTTGACTGGAATCGAACCCAGGACCTTTCAGTCCGCAGGCCGACACTCTATCCACTGAGCCAAACTGGTTTCGGCTAGAAGTGATTTTTAAAGTTATTTTGTTTATTTTGCATAAAGGAGAATTAATATGTAGAAAAGACATTTCACATTGAATATGTGTGAGGTGAGAACACATGCAGAGATCTCAGAAATGTGCGAGAATGTAGCAGAGACAGCTTAACTGGAGTAAAGGTGCCACGTTAAGAAAATGAGTGATGTTTTGGAGTGGTGGCTCTAGGAGTAGAGCTGTCACAATGAGAGTATACATTTGCAGTATTAGGGAGACGTTCTGGTGTGTGTGTGTGTGTGTGTGTGTGTGTGTGTGTGTGTGTGTGTGTGTGTAGTGGAATGAAGTATGGCAGCATCCAGGAGACTACTTTATTTGCCAAGGTTGAAGGTAAGAGACTTGATTTGATGTAATTAAAAATGAAATTAAAAGCAAAGGTAGGCTCCTCCTTCCCTTTGTGTGTATGCTCTTAGAGGGATGGAGAGTTGGGAGAACAGCCAGGCATGGTCCTCTGGGAAGGAGAATGGTTTACTGAAAGTGCTCCATCTTTGGTTCTTTTCTCTCCCCAGGAACTTCAAGGAATGTCCAGCCGTTTCTGGCTATGTGTGACAGGGGTGAAACTCCCCAAGGGGTCAAGTACACAGGAACAACTTTGAACTACCGGAGTCTTCCCCATCGTAACAGAACAGATGCCTCTTGGGGACTGTGGTCGGAGGCCAACCAGCATATTGGGGCTAGATTCCTGACTACAACAGGGTACAGGCCTCAGCCAACCCACTCTGCCACACTACCTGAAAGACACCAGGGTCATCATGTTCCTCATGCTCAGTCATGGGGAGATCTTTCCCATTCATCCTCCCCCGCTCCCATTGTTCACCCTGTGCCCCCACCACTAAGCAGTCTTCACGTTCCCCTGAGGTCAGCTTGGAATTTGGGTCCTGTCCCAGGGTCTCGATCCCCTGGTCCTCGGAGAGTCGATATGCCCCCAGATGATGACTGGAGGCAAAACAGTTACACCCCACAATCTGGGCACAGGAGGACGGGGGGACAGGAGTTTCTGTATGTTCTAGCAGACGCCCCTCGAAGAGAGCAGTTCAGGGCCAGAGCCCTGCAGCACAGCAGGTGGTAAGGTCACCCCTTCCTTCCCTGGAGTCGCAGCATGCTTTTTAAACAGTGTTGTGGCAGAGTTCACCCTACATCCCTGCCAGGGCTGTGCTAATCTCATCTCATCGGAGAGCTGGCAGTTTCTCCTAAGGGTGCCAGGAATCTCTAATGTGATATGGCTCTTTGAGAAGGAATATTTGAAATTATAATTTCCATTCACCTAGCAAAAAGAAGCAACTGCTATTTAGGGTTTTATTTGAGCCACTTTAAAAATGAATCCATATTACTCTGGACACTAGTCATTCCTTAGGTCATCACTTTAGTCCTGGATACTTTATGCCCATACCTGTATCTGAGCCCTCATCCTCTGCTCCTCTACTATATTACCAATTTCTACTCTTCATTTCATCTATCTATCCATATTTCCTGTCTTCCCCCAACCCCCTTCAAGGGACACGAAGCCCTGTGGTCCTTGTCCTGACCCCAGGAAGCCCATCTACCCAAGAGTTATAGACTGCCAGCTTCCCTGTGCTCCTAAACCTCAGGCCTAGGACGCGGAACTGCCAACGTTTGCCCTCTGAACAGATGGAGTTGGGCACACTAACACACCCTCTTGTCTCAGCAGCAGAGTCATTACTGCCACTTGCTCAGCCCCCATTGTAAACCCTCAGAGTCAGCTGACCTATTTTAGGGCCAAACATACTGTTTTTGTAAAGTATTTTTCATTAATAAATCTATAATATAGTTCTATTTAATTCCTTGTCATTTTATTGTCGTTTTAAGCTCTTTTTTTTTTTTTTATGCACTTGTACTTTTATATTGGTGTGGGCTGGCCTAGATAAGCAATAAATGCCAGTTCAAACACACACACACACACACACACACACACACACACACTAGAGGCCGCATGCACGAAATCCGTGCACTCGGTAGTGGGAGGGAGTCAGCCCCTGGGCCCAGCCTGTGCCCTCTCGCAGTCCAGGAGCCCCTGGGGGGTGGGCCCAGGCTGACAGTGGGACATCCTCAGCACTGCCGCAGAGGCAGGAGGGCTCTCACCACTGCCGCTGCGGTTGCCAGCCGTGAGCCCTGCTTCTGGCTGAGCAGCGCTCCCCCTGTGAAATAGGCTGAAACCCCTTCTCCAACATCCCCCAAGGCGTCCTGGATTGTGAGAGAGCACAGGCCAGGCCGAGGGACCCCCACTGGTGCACAATTGAGGCCAGGGAGGGACCATGGGAGGGCTCCCGGGTGTGTCAGGCTTGTCTCACTCAGTACCAATGGGCTGGACTCCAGCAGCAAGCCAACCTACCAGTTGGAGCACCCGCCCTCTGGTGGTCAGTGCCCATCATAGCGAGCAGTTGAGCAGCTTTGGCATATCATTAGCATATTGTGCTTTGATTGTTTGAACGGATGACTGGATACTTAGCATATTAGGCTTTCATTATATAGGATATAAATGGCTTTTGAATGAGTGAAAGTGAGGAGCCAAAGAGTTTAAGGGTTGAAGGATATATATTGAAGGGAGGAGTCAATGTGCTCTAAAATGGAGTAACTTTCCTTGTTATTGCTGCCGCAAGTATATTTTCTACCCCTTTCCAAGAGGCACTAAGTACATACGAGCTTTCTCCTTCCCTCCTTAGGGAGATTTTCTAGAGACTCGAACTCCTTTTATAAATTCACTCTTGATCTATGCATCTTGGTACTCCCCCTCCCTTGCTCTTTCCGTGGCTGCTTCTCCCTTCCCATCCCCTGTGCAATTATTGCACTTCCATGCCTGAAGTCCACTTTTATCCCTGTCTCACTCCCAAATCCTCCTCCCTCTAAGAGGTATTTTGTATGCTCCTTTTGCAAAGAATACCTATTGGGTATTCCTCTTCTCTCTTACCCCAGGCCTCAGGATCATTGAGTTTGACAAAAAGAAGAGGTAGAATGTTGCTCTTTGAGACCTTTGGACCACTGCTTACCTAATTATCACCCATTGTGAACAGATTCTGAGCACAATCAGTACTGAGTAGAAGGATGGGCAGGAATTCTCACTCCTCCCACTTGCATCCTGTGCCATCAAGATACATACATCTTAGTGGATGTGCTGGTCTCTATCTGTGATCCTTTACATCTGCTGGTGACACACACTACTAATAATTATTGATTGAGTAGTCAATCAGATCTTTTTAAAATATATTTTTTATTTACTTCAGAGAGGAAGGGAGATAGAAACACATCAGTGAGAGAAAAATCATTGATCAGCTGCCTCCTGTACGCCCCCCACCATGCCCACAACCCAGGCATGTGCCCACAATGGGAATTGGACCGTGACCTGGTTCATAGGTCGATGCTCAACCACTGAGCCAGCCAGGCATCATCAATCAGTTCTTGTCCCACTGTCCTCTTTCCCACCAATATCCACCCCTACTTAGGTTTCATAAGTCACTTGTGCCCGGATTCTGTATGTGCACAGAAACACCACATGAGGTATTTCTTATGAGGAACTAATTTCCAATTCTCTACTTATTCCTCTGCCTTCCAAACCTAATTCCTGTATGAATCAAGAGGTAGGTGTGTTCTTTTCAGGTGAATCTGCAGATGCTTGGCTATCTTTTAATGCCATCCCTTCCTTTCCCTTTCCTATTTGGTTCTTAACCTTGGAGCCTAAACTTCCCTACCTGCATTCATTCTGACTCTGTGCCATCAGTATTAACAATTCCAGGTTCTAAACACAAGGGCCAGATTCTCTCTCAAACACCACTTTTTGAACGATCACTTTGTAGAACCTGCAATGCCTCCTCTTTCTCTTGTCCCTTACCAACTAGAGTGCCCAGATCTGGTAGCCAAATTGTTATACACTTCTCTTTTAGTAGGAGGTTCTCAGGTGTCATCACGTCTTTGCATCTCACTGGAAGCTCCATGAGAGCCCGTGCTGCCTCCCAGTACTCCTTCCCCACAGCAGTTAGCTCTGGTTTTGTGCCTGCCCGGAATTTTAACCCGATCCCTTGGCCTCGTCCCGCTCCTCCGGCCTCAGTAATTTTGACCGAGTCCCTAGAGCCTGCCCCGCCCCCGCCCCCGCGCGCGCGGTGCATGCCGGTCCTAGCCCCTCTGTCGGGAAAGAGGGTCCGCCATGTTCCCCGGCGGCGCCGCCGCTTGGCTCTGGTAGCCGCCGCCCCCGCCCCCAACCCCGCCCGGCCCAACGCCGAGCCGAGCCCCGGGCCCAGCATGGCCGCCCCGGAGCCGGCCCGGGCCGCACCGCCCCCGCCCCCGCCCCCGCCGCCCCCTCCCGGGGCTGACCGCGTCGTCAAAGGTGAGAGGTGGACGGAGCCCCGGGGGCCCGGCCCGAGGCGCCGAGCGAGGGCGGGCGGAGAGCGTCCCTCCGAGCGGCCCGGGAGGGCGGGCGAGTGACTGGCTGCCTCCCTCGGGGAGTGGCCCCTGGGCGGGCCCCGCGGGGCTGGGCCGGGCCGGTGGTGGTGGCGGCTCCGGGCTCGCCGGCCTGCGGGCCCGGGCCGGGGCGGGGGTTCCGCGCGCGGGTCTCGCGGCCGCAGGGCTGAGGCTGCCGGGCGCCGCGACCAGCCCCTTCCTTTCCCCGCGGGGAGCTTCCCGCCCTGCGACAGCTGCAGCCCGGCTGCCGCGGACCGGGGCTCAGACCGCCGCCGCGGGGCGGGTGCGGAGCGGCCGGAGAGCTCGGCTGTGGCCCACGCCCGCGCCCGGTGACAGCCGCCCGCCCCGCGCGCCCCCACTTCCAGCCGGGCCCCCGGGTTCCCCCGGGACTCCGCGGCACCCTGCGCGGGGGACTCCCTATGGGACTAGACCAGGGTGAAGGGACCAGCGAGGATGTGGGGACCCGGCTCTAAGTGCAGAATAGATGGCGAGAAAAGTCAGCATAAAAGACCCCTAAAAAAGAGCCTCGTGGATAGAAAGAAGCATTGACAAAATGTAGAAAACGGGCAACACTGGTCAAAGGCCTAAAGGGTGACTTACCCCTTCCCTTTTGAGCACGCACACCCATGCACTCCCCGTAGAAGGAAAAGTTAAATATTTCTCAGCTGGGGCCGAATTTATGGGTGTTTACCCACAACAGGTCAGCAGATTAACTTAAAATAGAAAAATAGAGGGCTGATGGAGAGTTACTTAGATAACTCCATGCTTTCTGGGAGAGCCCATCAACTGCAAACACTTACGTGGAGGTGGAAAACGATTTGGAATGAGCTTTTTTTTTTTTTTTTCTTTATCATGTTGCTTGGTCAATAAATTGAAATCATTATAGAATAAAGTTTTTTTTTATTGTATTATGTTTATTTTTGAAAGATAGATGATATATTTATTTTTAAATTTAGTTTCTCAAATATACCGGTAAGCCTAGTGACCAGGTATGTTTCCATTAAAATATTTAAAAACAAGAAAAAGTTTTTCCTTTGTGTTATTTTAAGTTTTCGATTTGATCCCCCTTTAATAATAACACTAATTTGTAACCAGGCTTCTCCAAATGATTTTTAAAAGTTAGTGGTATATCCGGCTGGTCCAGTCATTGGAATGAGTTGAATGAAGAGTTTATGGGATCCTGGTCCTGTGAAATCTTTTTAAAAAGAGAGAAAGATTGATAGTTCAGGCATTCATCCTATTATGAAATACTGGAGTTTTGTCCAGATGGCACAAGAGACATGGGCTGCCTCTTCATTTTCTGATTCTATATCTGTGTTATATGGTCATTTCCTGGGCACTCTCAACCCTATTAGATGGTACAACCAGTCACATTTCTGAACAATGAGTTTATGCTATTATGTTGTGTATCTTATTGTTTTGTGTCATACATACATATATATATATATATACATACACACACACACACACACACACACACACACTCACACAGAGGCCTGATGCACGAAGATTCGTGTTAAGAATGGGCCTTCCTTCCCCTGGCTGCTGGCACTGCCTTTACTCCAGCCAGAGCTGCCTTTTTGCTCTGGTCCAGAGCTGCCTTTCTGCCTTCCCATGCTGCCCAGAGGCCTGGAGCAGGTGGGGTGGTGCAGAATGCAAGCAGTCCTGTCCTGCCTTGCCCCCAGCTGCTTGGCAGCTGTATATGCAAATTAATCAGCCATCTTTGTTGGGTTAATTTGCACAATCACTCCTGATTGGCTGGTGGGCGTCCTGAAGGTACAGTGTGTGTGTGTGTGTGTGTGTGTGTGTGTGTGTGTGTGTGTGTATATATATATATATATATATATATATATATATGGTAATGTCTTCCCTGTATTTCTTAAATACAGTAAAAGTAAGATTTTAAACAAGGTGTATTCCTTAGGGGTAAGGTGTGATTCCCAAACAGTCATATTTGAATATGGAATAAAAATAATTTGACTTAGTAAATAGAAAATCATAGTTAGTTTATGTATATAAGATCTCATGTACAAAATAGTATATTTTTCATCAAGACAACTTTCATTTATTGTGTTTGTTAGCCAGTTGGAATGCCTTATATGGATCACGTTATTATAGAGATAGTTTGCAACAGATAGTTTGCACATGGAGTCTCATCTCTGGCTTACTCAGAAATTACTGGGAAATTCACCTTTCAGACAGAAAACCATTTTTAGATTTCATCTTCCGGCTTCTTTCTTGCATTCTCATTCAATAATTGTATACCATAATGTTACATTTGATGACAGAGAAGATATCCACAGTGTTAATTCAATCAAGTTTAAAACTTGTTAAAATCCTGATTTTTTACAAAGTACAATATGTGCTAGTTTTGCAGCTGTACCATTTCATATAGTAATATTATGGAGACCGTCATTGGTATACCCTGAAACTTTTCCTTTTCTCAGTTTTATACTCTTACACTTTAGTAGTCAGGAGACCTGTATTTTATAGTCACATGGATTTTAAAGGGGGGGAGATATAGATCTTTTAGTGTTGAATATCAGATGCCTAAAATTCACTTCATGGGAAGTTTGAGACATTGGAATACTGTAGGTGATTCATGTATAAATGTAATTAGTTCTTCACTGAAATTATCATTGGTAATTCCATATCACTAATAATGAGTAATTAGGTTTTCTGGTTAGTTAAAGCAAATTTAGTCCTGAGCCCACTCCAGCTGTTGGCTCTGGTATAATTTTTCTCTTTAAAGTTTATGTAGCCCAAGTGCTTTAGGTGAGAATAGTATGCCCTCTTAGCTATTTTCTGTTAAGCATTTTTCTATTCTTTTAGATAAGAAGTTGGAAACAAGAACATAGAAACAAACTAGGAAAAAATAGCTAACTGCAACTGCATAAGTGCCTTACTTCCACATCAACAAAGTTGGTTTAGGTAATTAAGTAAAGCATAAAACTTTGAATTTTATGTATATTGCTCTTGTTTCTCCCCCTATAATTTGCTTGACCTGAATTGTCCAGACACTTCCTTTTCTTTTCAGATACTTTAAAAATGTACCTACTAAGATTTGTAAGACTAGATTGCCCTTTGAGGTGATTGAATCTTTTAGTCTTGATTTTTTTTTAAAGTCTACTTTATTACTTAAAGTGCATTGTCTGTATCATGTGTATGTTCATTTTAGCATACACAATGTGACTTTCTTTTGGATTCAATATTTCTTTTTGCCTCATTTCTTAAATTATCAGATTTTCTGATTAAACAAAACACTGAAGTATATGTGTTTTAAATTTTAAAGCTGATATCTTTCTGGTGGGCAGCCTTTGATTTATTTAGGTTCTGTTGCTAGCCTGCCCTGCTTAGGTTAATTGGCCTAAGTGTTTTCCAGTACCTTAGCTTTTTTAGGTTTGCTTATTTTTCATTACAGATTTTTATTTTATTTATTCTTTAACATTCTTATTTCAGAGAGGAAGGGAGAGGCAGAGGGAGATAGAAACATCAATAATGAGAGAGAATCATGGGTCAGCTGCCTGCAGCACCTCATACACTGGGGATCAAGCCCACAACCCAGGCATGTGCCTTGACCAAGAATTGAACCATGACTCCCTGGTTCATAGATCAATGCTCAACCACTAAGCCACACTGGCCCGGCTCATTACAGATTTTTAGATGAAACACATAGCTACTTCAGTGTTTCTTGCTAATTTTATTTTATTATATTTTAAACCAACTTGAATTTTAATTTAATTTAATTTAAAAATATATATATTTTATTGATTTCAGAGAGGAAGGGAGAGGGAGGGAGAGATAGAAACATCAATGATGTGAGAGAATCATTGATTGGCTGCCTCTTGCACACCTCCTATTGGGGATGGAGCCCGAAACCCAGGCATGTGCCCTTGGCCGGAATCGAACGTGGGATCTTTCAGTCCGTAGGCTGACACTATCCATTGAGCAAAACCAGCTAGGGCTTGAATTTTAATTTCAGAGGTATTTTGTGGACTTGCCTATGTAAAAAGATAGCTCTTAAGATTTTTTATTTTTTCTATCCCCATTAAACTCTAATAAGTCTAATAAAATAATTCTTCAGTACTATGTGTCCTAGAGAAAGCAAAGGAACAGAGAATATTGTGTGTGTATGTGTGTGTGTGAGAGAGAGAGAGAGAGAGAGAGAGAGAGAGAGAGAGAGAGAGAGAGAGAACATACTGTGGTAACAAGACATCTTAGAAGGAAAATGCCAAGGAGGAAATATAGCTGCTTAATAGTGAGGCAAAGGCTTTTCAGGTTCAGAACCATTGAATGAATTGGTAAGAGTTGTAAGTGCCAGGCTGGTATTGCTCAGGAGTTCCATGTCAACCTATGAACCAGGAGGTTACAGTTCAATTGATTCGTGATCAGTGCACATGCCCCAGTTGCAGACTTGAGTCCGAATCGGGACATTCAGGAGGCAGTTGATCAGTGATTCTCTTTCATCATTGATGTTTCTATCTCCCTCTCTCTTCCTCTCTCTCAAATAAATAAAAACATTAAAAAAAAAAAAAGCTATAAGGAAGTTTAGTGACAAGAACCTTGATTTATTACACGAGTTATATTTTACTACCAATCATCTGACTTTATTTCATCATAAAAATGCTTATGCACAGAGATAAAATAAGCTGTAGCTAATTGGATATCCTTGTTTGGTATGTAAAATTTAGTTTGATACCTCAAATAATCAAATAGAAGATATTTATTAAATGCTTGCTGTATGCTAAAACTGTAGACGAACAAGAGATAAAATACAGTATTGGTTCTTGGAGAAATAAGTACTCATGAAAGGTTATATATCACATGGACGGGTGTGTTTAATAAGTGTGAGCGAAGAGGCAGAGCCAGCAATTGTCTGAGTTCAAAGGAGGTTGTGATGACTCTGGCCTGGAATGGTCTAGAAAG